TGCAGTATATTATCTTTTTAAAACTTAACAGTTTTGACATGAAAAAAAGTCCTCACCCTATTTTTATAAAGATACAGGAAAAAACTTGTTTGTGTATCAATTCCCCCAAAGCACTCTGTAGGGAAGACATGCACACAAATCTGCATGCTAAATCTGTACCTCTACTGCCTAATAATAGCTCCCTTTTTGTGCTCTTTATGTAGGAATGTTACTATATCAGAAGAGAAGTCTGCAGTAAATCACTAGTTTTAGGCACCTGCCTGACCTCTCTGTGCTAGTAACTGAGTAAAAATTCTTTCCAGAAAACTTACCACTCTTTATCAGATCCAGAAACAGCAATTAGTCAGCAGCATACATACCAGGGCAGCTTTTGACCAGAATTTTACCTTACTGCTGTCATCAGACAGCCATTATTGAAACGAGGTGAATTTACAGGCTAGTTGGGTTGGTTTGAGTTAGTACATTGCTTTTTCAGTGAGCTTGAGGATAGTGATTTCTGATCACTCACACTTGTGTGCATATCATGAAGTTTAACTGGATTGTTATGGTAGAAGCATAACAGGAGCTGATATGTTGAAAATAAACTTGATTTCCCATGAAGGTTGATTTTCCTCAAATGTTACGAGATGTAGAAGTGAAATGATGCTTGTTTTCCATCGGGGATTTCATTAGAAACTTAGAAAAGGCTTGGCAGTTTCCCCATTTCTGGGGGCTAAGAGGGGAAGTGTACTTTTGAAGCCTTGAATTAGACTACGTAGAAATTGTTTTAACTTTGTTATTTAGGTGGCACAGTCCCAAGTTAAGCGCTCACATCTAGATTCTACATAGCAGATATTGTTCTTCAGAACACATCTCAAATGTTTTATTTTTAGATTGGGACAGAATGAGTTTTCATGCACATTATCATTACATGATTGTTAGTTAATCAATAAATTCATTTATTTTGTAATTTTATTATTTATTTATTTATTTATTTATTTATTTATTTATTTATTTATTTATTTATTTATTTATTTATTTATTTATTTAAAATTTAATGTATTAGTCTAGACCAGGATGATGTGATATTTAAAAGCTCAGTTTAACATGACATAACATGTACTTTATTATAATGATAGCATACTTACCATATGGTAGATATGTAAACCGCCAGTACACAGATAAGCAAGTATGTGAAGTCATGTGATGGCTATGTAGCACATGTTATCTATACCCATACAAGTTGGACGGATAACCCAGATATAACACTCCATTGTCCATATACATGGTACATGATTGGGGCCATCTCCTCTATTGAATACATACTCAGTACAAGGAGAGAATTGGAGATATATGCTTTTTCTTAGAATGTACTGCTGTGAGTGTTTTCTGGGTTCTTTTGATGAAGAATCTTGTTAGGAAGGAGGTTATTATAAAGCAGAATTAAGGAGATGGTGACTTGTTTGTACATAGGGACCATCTTTCATATGTTATGGAGTGATTCCAGCCAGGATTTGCTTGAGTTTGCCATATTGGTGTGGTGACACTGACAGTAAAATTGCCATATTCTGACTGTTCCTGCACATACACTTGCAGTCGTAACATAATTGTTGAACATGTGCTAATACTGGCGTACTTTTGAATTGGAACCCAGCGATGAGCGAGAAGAGAAATTGTGTCAAGTCACTCAGATAATACAGGGGAGTGAATCCCTGTAGAACAGTGTGGCAAAATTAATGTAGAATGGTCAATTATTAATCCAGAATTTCTCACAGACAGGACCCTTTGCACCTTCAACAACTAGACACCTCGGGAGAACTGCTAGGGTTATCTTTCGACAAACTTGGAGAAGTTGAATGTTGTGGTGTAGAATGTTTCACTACACCATCATATAATCTGGAATAAGAAATTGATCATGGTGTCGGAGATTTTTTCCTGTTTTTTCTCGTGACCCACTTTGACCTCTTAGATAATTTTCAAAAGGAAACATTTTGGGGTCACGGTGTAAAATTTGAAAACTTGGATAGCTTAATACCACAAAACTTCATTCCTGAATGTTATGAAGCTATCAGCCAAGCAGTAAAAATGAGATAAGGACTGGTATGTTTCTCCCGAGGGATGATAGTTAACCCAGTGCGGCTCTACTGTCTGGAAGATTTTGAGGCCAGTGTAAAGCAGTGCGAAGCAATGAAGCATGCTGTTGGGCTTTATATGTGACTCATGGAGGTTTTATATTGGAAGTCTGTCTACTGCAGTGGTAAGTTGGCAATCTCTCCCCCCCACCCCCACCCACCCACCTACCCACCACAAAATGTATGTATGCATGCATGCACATGTGAACATACTGTACACAGAAGTTCTTGTATTTGCATCCCACCCACCCACCCACACAGAGTAGATAAATGTCCATACATGATTAAGTACCTGATGACACTCAGTGTCAGAGGTCAGTTGTCCAAACATGTCTACTATCTCCATGTTCCCAGCAGAGTCCAGTTTCCTCTCACTGTCTCAGGAAATGGGAAGCCAACAACCAATTCCATACTAGTATATCTCCCAACACTGATAACACTTGTTCATGGCTTAGATGATTTATTTACCAATCTGTAGGATTAACTGACCCAGCTGATATTGATCCCTCTGAAACCTGAGGCATTGAAATATTTAGTGATATGGTGTGTCATTTGTCCAATGTATTTTTAATCTAAATGGTAGAGAAAAATACAGACTGAAGGGCAGTGTCTTTGAATCCAGGACCCCATTATTGCATTTATAACTTAGAATATGTGCATTTACATATATATGTATTTAATGTATTATTATATAAATATGCCGATTATGTTTTTTTTTACTTCTTTATGTGTGTAACAATGTAGACCTTGTGCATGAAAGCATATATCAATGAAGAAATGTGAAACGTTTCGCAGATGCTCTTTCTTATAGTGGATATTACACATTGTATCCATTATGTAAGTGTACTCGAGGGATCATCCGGTGTGAAATACCCCATTCAGATTGAGAAGTAGTCGAGTGCTAGCTAGGCCATGACCCAAATATTGCGGACCTACATGAAGGGAAGACCGCTTAATCCTGTAACAGTCTCTCCGCCTCTCATACGACTCCCCATGCATAGTTCCTTGACCGGTTGAATTGAGCTGAGATTTAATTACTGTGCCCTTCCAGGGATGACGCATGGGGCATGTGAGAGGCGGAGAGACCATTACAGGATTAAGCGGTCTTCCTTGGACCGGCCTAGCTAGCACTCAACTCTTCTCATTCTGAATGGGGCCATAGGCTCGCAGTCTTTCAACCAGTGAGACTGTCTTTCAATGTCAGTTGAGAAATCGAATCACCTGTAAATGTGCCTAACAAGCACGTTCTGACGGTCTTCCAAAACACCCACGAGATGGTTTGAAATTGCCCCTTCTCCATTTTCTGATTGAGTATTATCTTGCTCTCTCCTGAGAATATTGAACCGGATACTGGTACGTGTGCCATGAATGGCTTCTGCTGGCATTTTATAGATTGGAATCTCTTTAACGTTAATGATTACGTCTTTGAGAAAAGAAAATGTGGTGGCTCTGCAAGTTTTCTTTCTTTAGAAGTCTTCCATGTAAGTTAAGAATGAGATGCAGAGTTAAGTGATGAAAATGTCTACTTTGAAAAGAAAACGATTCCAGTTTTGTCAATAATACTATTGTGCTCTCTCCCCAGGGAATTAGCAAAAAAAGCTATGATCAATTAAGAAAATACCTACCTGATTGAATAAATATCATTGCTGGGATTAGCCAGCGATGTTAATTAACACATTATTAGTGTGTGCTGAGTGTACAGGTTTCTCCTGTGATCCATTAATTGTTGGCTTAATGAGTCAGTTGTTGCTCTTGCAAAGAAGCCCATTTTTGTGCCATTGGCCTCATGGGCATGCTTGTGGACAAGAGCTTTTGTATGGAACTTCTAAGATGTAGAAATGCCACATCAATTTTATATGAACCCTAGTCTAGTGTAGTGCAAAACGCATAGAAGTTTTCAGTTGATAATCGGCACAACACGCATATATGTGTATCAAATGAGGATGGTGAAGAAGATGTGAGCTGTTGCCAAAAATTGAGGGCAATTTTATCTATTGTGGATTCTGTGCAGCAGTCCTGTATAATTTGTCTAGAGTACATGTTGAAAAAGTTTTTTACATTCATGGGTTAAATGGTCACGGAATATTGAGTCTGTGATGAGGAAGATAAGATTTTAGCTTCATATTATTTGCTGTTTAAAATTGGGTGCACTTGTTTGGAGATGAGAAAAATAACCTGGAGTTTAGAAAGACATAGGTTGTGAAGAAAAACATGGGTTATTAAGAACAGTGTTGTGAATCACAGCAGTATTATTCTCTCTTCTGTTACACAAGTACAGCTGTAAAGACTTCGAGTGGATGAAGAAAAAAGTGGAAGAAAAAATTCAGTGAAGGATATGATATCACATGGAGCATTTTATTTCAAGCAAGATTGAAAATTTTTATAAAGAACTGATTTTTTTCTGCGTGTCGTCAGATATAACTGGTTCAAACCACCAGACGGCAGCTGTGACAGGTAAACTGTCGCCGTCTACTTTAAGTTTATGGTACCTGGACCGTCTGACTTACAGACTGAGGTTGACAAGTATCCTGTGTTTGAGACCAGAGGGGCTCCACTTGTGTAGACGTGAAGAGGCTAGCGCTGGACATGCTGACCAGTAGATTTTAATTTTTTAAATGGCTAGACAGGCTTATGCCTCATTGTAATAATTCTGATAGAAGAGCACATATAGGAAAGGGATGAATGATTGTAAAGTTTCAAGGCATGGAATATTAGTTAATCTTGATATAGACAGCTGAACTTGTCTTTAGTCTTCCCCTGCTATGCTTAAGCAGTGCAAAATATTTGTGTTGATGAATGGAGAGGATCAAGCACATCACAGGATTTATTTTTTGAATTTGATAAAGTTCTTGGTACATAGGTAAACATTACTGTATGTATTGTGTACTCGTGTCTGTCAGAACAAAAAACATATATCATCAAATGTCACTGCTCTGCCAAGGAGATAGTGCCCCTGGAGTCAACAAAGTGAACAGATATATTGTACCTCATTGTCTGTCTGAGCTATAGAATATATAGACCTGAATTATACCAAATTGCACGTCTGGCTGCCTGGGCTCCGAACAATACACCTGTGTAGGCGTCTGGTTCCGGTGACTGTTTTATACAATACACAGGTGTGTAGACAGGTGAACTACAGGTATGTGGTCCACTTCCTGGGAGCTTTTAATCATCACTGGTTAATTACAAGGTGTGCGGGTATCTCTTGACCACAGACTTGAAGTGACCAGTGAGGAAGGAAGATGCGAGACACTTGTGCTGGTTTTGAAATTTGGATCTAGGATATACTTGACTTAAATATCGATGGGTCACCTTTGACTGGAACTTTCAACTGACCAGTTGTGTTGATGTGGGACAGTGAATTGGTGGTGTGAAATTCAAATAGGAAAGGCTGTAATGGAGAGTTGAAGTAAGCGAAATAGGGAAATAACAAGTATTGTTGGATTTGGTGACCACAGATTTCTACAGAGCTGTATGCTGCAATAGATAGAAGAACAGGAATGCTGGTATTAGATTCATATAGCACAGACCATACATGAGAATAAAGGATAATATTATCAGTGCAAAACTTACAAATACTGAAGCCCTGTCATTGGAAAGTAATGGTCATTGTGACAAACGGCTATACATTGGACATTCAACTTTCAGTCTGTTGGCAGCTGTGACGAGACGGTGATAAACTTATCCTCTTCTTTATGATTATATTCTAGTATATTTATAACAGAAGAATACATTAACCTTAACCAATAATTACACACACTGCTGATTAAGTTTCATGCTGGTTTCATAACTACGACTTAATTTACCAGGAGAAAAGCCATTATATTGTACAGCTGAACTGATTTCACCCATGTTTGTGGCTGTGTGGATGTTTTCCAATAGATCTCATGAAAGGATCATTTTAATAGACATTTACATAAATATGTGGATTGATTTCCAAAAAGGAGCAAAAATTTAAAGTTAGTGTTCAGAAAGAAGAAACTCGAAAAGCTTTACCAGTTTGTCTTGAGCAAAGATAGAGAAAACTTAATCTTTAATTACCACCATCTGGGACTAGGTAATCATCTTGCCATTTATTTTTAAATGATCATATTAGAAACCTGTGTTGAAATATCTGGGTTACACACACACATCCTCTTCTTGTGGATTTGCAATTACTTGTATGACATCATCCACATATGGGGACTGTCACATTAGAAGGTACGAGCAGTTTGGAGACAATGACAGGTCATTAGTCACTGCTGGTACAGAGAAGATAGAGCTACATCGGCCCTGACATCCAGCGTTGACAATAACAGGAAGCATCTTTCTTTGCCACATCCAACTGCAGATCTCTAATCATCACAGCACAGCAATTATTACCATTGATTTATCTGCTATTTTGTCTGGATAATTACTGCTGGATATGTGATATCTGCCTGTACTGGTGGGAAAGGTAGTTGTGGATGTAGTATTATGTAGGAAGAACTACACAGGATAAAACTTTGTCGTCAGTGCTAGATAAAATAAAAATACAGAGGATAGCACAGGATTTGTTTTGGATTATAAACAGACACTTTGCAATTGTCAATAATATTCAGGAGACAGATGTCTCTGGATGATATACGATGGATATTTATTGTTGATTATTGAATCATATATGTAATGAGTAGCATCGCAGTTTCTTCCATGCAAAACAGTTGGGTTTGCAAATAATAGTAGGACAAGGGAATTTTATGTGCAGTTGCACTTTTTTTTGTTACTCATTTTGCATTAACTGGATGACTTATACACTGTTACTGATTTATTTCGCAAGGCACAGCATGTACATTGAGTCTGTTTTGTATTCTGAGTACAGCTAAGAAGTCAAAAGTTTAGCCTGAAGACACATGGAAAACAGTTACAAAACCGACAGATCATATACCGTGAGAGCTTGTGTTTGTGTGTTGAAGGCAAGGACGAGATCCATTAGTGCTGGTTGCATTGTTGCAAAGGTTTTCTGTCATATAAGGTGAAACATTTTTTTGTCAAAGAATCTGCTGGATTGATTGGAAGATTTTTAAGCTTCCTTTTGACAGGGCAAGCCTAAGGAGACTCTGATGCGTGAGGTGCTTGATCCACACAAGTGAATGATTTGCTGGTTTGTTTGCAGAACTGCTGCCTTTCCTTCACTGAAAGGTGTTCATAGTTTGAATCTTGGAATAGCTTATGGCTATACCTAAAGCATTGTTGGAGATAACTTCGAGGTTCACTACATTTACGGGGAAGATCAAGACACAAATGTGAAGTTATGCATTTGTTTCTGTTGTAACAGTATTTCTGAAGAACGATATTTCCGCTGCTCCTAGGGAACAAGAAAGTGATATTTACACAGGACTTTTTGAATCTTAAGCTGTAGAGACACGCTTCTGAGTATTCTGTACAGGAGTTGAGAGAGATTTTAGTTCAGGAAAACACTGTTGCAGTCTCCAGGTGGACGTATCTGGTGTTTGAAATATCGCAGGATTTTTGATTGTGCAGATTATGTTGAAGTCGCTGAGAATAAAGATGGGACAGCCCCATTCCAAGACACACAAATATACTAGGTGTGGTAGGAGGATAAATAATGTGAAGTTGACAGGTTAGTAGTGGGTGGATGGGTGTTTGGTCTTTTCCTCCTCTCCCCCCTCCCTCCCTCTCCCTCTCTCTCTCTCTCTCTCTCTCTCTCTCTCTCTCTCTCTCGTCACAGAGGGTTAAAAATTCACCATGATACTTAGCAAAGGTTAAGATAATTATATAATGCCTATGAGAAAGGTTGAGTTATTAAGTTTACTATCAAGGTGGTTTATATGTCTAGTGGCTTTTTTCTCTTGCTGGTGGGAAAACCCAAAGTTCTCACAGATCAGTGATGTGATACATCATCCAGTGTGTAGGTGCAGGTGCCCCCATGGCAAATGATGGTTAGAATAGTGATAATTTAACACCCCATTTCCATAGATTAGATCGACCTACTTTAGATCGACCTAACTCCCTGGGGGTTCATGCTAAATAGCTGTCAGTCGGGCAGACACGAAAGTTAATTACCCCCTTCCAGCTTGTAGTAGGCGCGACGGACATTTTAGTCGGATTATCTGAAAGTAATCTAGTGAGACTCCCCGCGGGGATAGATCGATCTAAAATCTATGGGAATAGAGCCTAAGATATGTTTTGCAGTGTGTGCATGTGTGTGTGTACATATGTGTGCGTGTGTGTGTGTGTGCATGTGTTGAAAGATTTTGTGCAAGGGATTATGTAAAAACATTCTACAGTGTGTTTGTGCTCTTGTCTATATATTAACAAAACGCATTCTTTATTTCAGAATTATTACCAAGACAATATGTTTTCCCTTTCTCTAGGAATCCTGAACTTCTAATGAACCCATTGTTTTTGCAATCATGTTGTTAGTGTGTTAACAGGTCAGCAAAGTATTTTCCCTGTCAAACTTATTGTCATCACAGGTGTTGCATTTTGTCCTGTCATGACCAAAAAAAAAAAAAAAAAAAAGTGAAAAAAATGTGGTTTTTCCCTACATTTCCCTAATAGCATCTGTGGGTAGCAAAGTTAATGTTTAATACATTTAATGTTTTTTTATTGACATCTTTGCTTAATATGATGATAAATTGGCTCATGCTTATATGTACAAATGTTGAATGTTCACACTGCATTTTACATGGTACATTTCAAAACTTTATAAGTGCTTGTAAGAAATAAGTCTATGTTTAAGAATATCGCAGCAGTTCCTCATGTTGAAACAGCTTCAATAATTGTCTTCTGTTCTTTCACCTGCTTCTTGGTGCTTATGTAACTCACTTAATTTTTTTTTCTACAAAATTGAAATTTATCATTTGCTTGCTTGAACATTTTTCCAAGGAACAGTAAGAACGCTCAGACAAGGTCTAACTTAAAACAATTAGGGCTCAAAGCATCAAGTATAAATTTTTGAAAGGCAATGGGGCCTCTTGGTACAAAAAGACCAATGAATCTATTTAATCCAAATTCTGACATCCAAACCACTGATTTATCAATTTGGTTGACTGATAATTCAAGTTGGCTCAGTTTACAGTTTGAAGTACCCCTTGTCTGAACAGTCTTCATTTTGATAATGTCTATTATTATCTTTACGTAGGGTTTCAATGGTTGTCATGGAAACAATGCAATTTCTTTCAATTTGCAGAATAATTTGCAGAATAACTTTGCTTCGTTCAGCAGCTTCAAAAACTGAAAATGTGCAATTTTTGGAGTCATTACTTTAGATACTTGTGTGTTGCATCACTAAATTATTTGTTCCAAGGCCATATTTTTGTTTACCATGAACTTGTCACTCTATTTAGTGAAGCAAAAATTCTTCAGAATCAAATGAAGACTTAGCAAAGTTAAGTGATTTTAACCCTGTTTCGAAAGCTCACCCCTTCTCGTTCTCTATTTCTTTTAAATCAAAGCTCAAACTAATCGTCTCAACCACTTGGCATTTTTTCAAGAAATAGACATATATTTGTCTTTAAAATCTCTAACTTGATTTCCTGTTTCCTGCAATGGTTTGTGTTAACTTTGAAAATAAAAAAGAAAGAAAGAAAGGGGGGTTGAATATAGAAAAAAAAAAAAAATGTTGGCTGCCATTGAAACCTGTCTTACTTCTGCCCAGTATTCAGACATTATGACCAAATAAATAATGTAAATGCCAATTATTTATTTATATTTATTTTAGTTTAATCACGTGACCCTTGAATGTTTCATTTCTCCCTCTTCTAGCATGTGGGTTCTAAGGTGTAAATGCATGATCCCCGGTTCTTCTATACAACATTATGACTTCACAAATGAGAACTTTTACAGGTACAGCATTTGAATTTTAGTTGTCTGAGACTTTGCTTCACAGTGTTGCACCTGCACTGCACAGAGTGATAATTTCCTTGTTTGATTGAAAGATTCCTGCACTTTATTCTTTTCTATTTTGCTTGCTTGGTTGCTTGCTTTGAGCTATTAATTGATATGTATCAACTGCTTTGGAAAGTGAAAAAAAAAAAAAAAAAAAAAAAAAAAAAACAGAAATTCATCTTTAAAAAAAAATGGTTCAAGAACATTTCTTATTTTTAATTTTATAATGATTATTTATTTATTTATTTATTTATTTATTTATTTATTTATTTATTTATTAGACGAATAGCAATAAGCTGCAATGAATATTCTAGCAGAAGTAATAATTAACCCAGAAAAAAAATCCTCAAGTGGAAAAAAAAAACCCTTGCTAATGTGCTTTCAGTTCATTGCCCTTTTCTTAAGCATGCCAGGATTAATTATTCAAGGATATTATCTTACCTTTAACCTTTCTGTAAGATTAGAGTCAGGAATTTCTAGGAAAACAGACGTTGCATAAATGATAGACAAAGGGTAGTAGTTTTTGATAACATCTAAGAATCTAAGTTATTTGTTGATGGTGGATTTAAGGGATGTCACCTTATCTTTGATCTGTTTGTAAGATTAGAGACAGGGAATTCAGGGGAAAACATCACACTTAGCGTAAATGCTTGATAGTGGGTAACAGTTTTTGATACCATCAAAGTTATTTGTTGATGATGGACTTTAGGGAAAAAAAATAAAAAGTTTTTTTTTTAGTTGGCAAGCTTATAGTGTAATGAAAAGAAAATTGGGAGGGTAGCTGAAGGTGATAGATGATTGATTACATCACCACATGCTGTATGTATTTCATATATAATTTATAATGTATACTCAACAAAATCATAATTGAGCAAAAACGAACAAGTTTTTAAAGGATGAAGAAAGTGAATTCTTTCAAAAAAAAAGTTACCACTGAGTGAGTGTTGGGGGTGGGGAAGCACCAATTTTCTAAAATATTCAGATTTGGCACAGTATAGATAGGAATTGGTAAACGTTTGAAGGCTTTGTTAGCAGTGCTGATTGTCAGTGTGTGTGTAGTTTCATTCCTTGTCCCCTGCTCCAACCTGGTCTTTTTTAGTGGGCAAGCCTATGGTGTAATGATAAGAAAATTGTTCCAAGGACATCACATAGCCAAAGAAGTAGATTTCATCATCATGATTCATGTGATGCAGAGTTTATAGTAGTGTCCTTCAGGAGGGAGGATAGCTGAAGGTGATAGACAATTGATTATGTCACCACTTGCTGTATGTACTTCATACATAATGTACACTCGTCAAAATCATAATTGAGCAAAAACGAACAAGTTTTTAATGGACGAAGAAAGTGAATTCTTTAAAAAAAAGTTACCACTGAGTGTTGGGGTGGGGAAGTACCAATTTTCTAAAATATTCAGATTTGGCACAGTATAGATAGGAATTGGTAAACGTTTGAAGGCTTTGCTAGCAGTGCTGATTGGCAGTGTGTGTGTAGTTTTATTCCTTGTCTCCTGCTCCAACCTGCTCTTTCCTCCCCTTGTTGCAGTGTTGATGTGTTCTGTCTCTACTCACTTTGTTCACTTGAAAGTTAAAATTTACAGTATTTACTCAGAAAATTTCGAACAGCTTAATGTAGAAGTTTGTATTATCAGTTTGGTCTATTTCCCTTTAAGTTGTGAATGAGAAATTTGTGGAGGGGTAATATTGTGTTAAAAGGGGGAGCGTCTTACATGTTTTAGTCTGTTGGATGTAATTTTACTAAATGTGACAGCCTTGTTTATTGTGAGTGTGTAAAAGGGTGCCAGTAAATTTATAAAGTGTGTTAGATGTGACAGTATTGTAAATTGTGATAGTGTGTTAGGTGTGACAGTATTGTAAATTGTGACAGTGTGTTAGGTGTGACAGTATTGTAAATTGTGTTAGGTGTGACAGTATTGTAAATTGTGATAGTGTGTTAGGTGTGACAGTCTTGTTTATTGTGACAGTGTGTTAGGTGTGACAGTATTGTAAATTGTGATAGTGTGTTAGGTGTGACAGTCTTGTTAATTGTGACAGAGTAGATGCACAGGTACATGTGGTTAGTAAGTAAGTTATATTTACAAGTCCCAGTAAAATAAAAGGCAGCTGGTTGGGATCCCAGTTTCACTGAAAGAATATATTTTGTGTACTAACGTAAAATGTACTTATTGCTATGTTTCTTTCTGTTTGGGTTGGCTTCTAGAGAGTTTTTGAGTTTTACTAACCAAGTTTAAATGATATGACTGATATAACCCTTCTACATGGGAATTTAACCCTTTCTTTAAAGATGCAAACAAGACAAAAAAATTCCTGCATTTTTGCTGTTTATTAAAAGACTGATTTTCTTAATCTTGTGAATGATATTTATAAGGGCATTGATACTTTATTCACACTAAAACATGAAATGCCCAAGTATGATTTTCCCCTATATCAGCACTAATCACAGCAATAAAGTATTCACATTAATAATTTAACAATCTTGTCTTGCCAGGTAAAGATGGTAACAAGGTTACCACGGTAGTGGCGACCCCTGGTGTGGGTCCTGATCGCCCTCAAGAAGTCTCCTACACAGACACCAAAGTGATTGGCAATGGCTCCTTCGGTGTGGTCTACCAGGCAAAGCTCTGTGATAGCGGAGATTTGGTGGCTATCAAAAAGGTTTTACAAGACAAGAGATTTAAGGTAAATGCTCGAAAAGTAAGATTTTTAAAGGGGGTGGGAAGGGGGGGCTTTTAGGTGACTTATTTAATTGCTGCCCTCTACCAAGTCCACTGATTGATTTTTTTTTTAACTAGATATTCAGAGATAATGTCTCTGGCTAAATATAGTCAGTCTTCTAGCTTTGACTAGTGGAAAACCTATAATGCCTATAGTATCTGCTGTCCTGGTAGAGGGTGTGTAATGGCCATATTATATTAAGTTTTGTATAATTTCAATATTATCTTTCTAGTATGCATTTGTTGATAACTTTCTTCTTTACTATTTCAGAATCGTGAACTCCAGATAATGAGAAAGTTAGAACATGTAAACATAGTCAAATTAAGATTTTTCTTCTACTCCAGTGGAGAAAAGGTGAGTATGTGACACCTGACAACCTGCAGAAACTGCTTGGTAAAAATTTTATTTTATTTTTTATTTCATTTTATTCATTTTATTTTATTTTATTTTATTTTATTTTATTTTATTTTATTTATTTATTTATTTATTTATTTATTTATTTATTTATTTTTATTTATTATTATTATTATTTTTTGAATGAGAAAAAAGCGGGTACTTGTAACCCATTAATACTGGCAAATAGTTGCTGGCAATAGCTATGTAGTCCACATTAAGAGACTTAGTTTAAAAATAAGTTCCTCTAAGATGTATTTTTTTCTGAAAATGACTAGTTTGTATATATCAGGTCTTAAGTGACTCTTGTGAAATTTTTTTCCTTGTTTCCAGAAGGATGAAGTTTACCTGAATTTAGTGCTTGAATTTGTCCCAGAGACCGTGTACAGGGTAGCACGCCAGTACAGCAAGCATAAACAAACTATACCTATATTGTATATAAAGGTAAGCTTTTTGGTGTGCACATTTTAAATGTTTTAGTCTTTTGTGTAAGTTAAGTTGACATCAAGTGCCTGTAAGACTCAAAGACCTTCATCCCAACATCTCTCTCTCTCTCTCTCTCTCTCTCTCTCTCTCTCTCTCTCTCTCCATTTGAATGTATATCAAGCATTAACTTGATAGTTCTGATAAATTTTAAATTGAATAGTAGTTTGTGATATTTCCTCACATTCCAATCCAATCACTAAACTACTCTCAGATATTATATTGTCTTTTCAGCTCTATTTGTATCCACATATCCCATAGACTGTGGTATATAGAATACATTTGTTCTCATCTTTTCAGCTATATATGTATCAACTGTTCCGCAGTTTAGCTTACATCCATTCGCAAGGCGTGTGTCACAGAGATATCAAGCCACAGAATCTGCTTCTAGATCCTGAATCAGGAGTTTTAAAATTATGTGACTTTGGAAGGTAGGAAGTGTATGGTGAAGTTTTCTAGACTCAAGCTTGTATCAGGAGTGTTTTGCCCTTTGGTTATGAATATTGCATTTGGTTGAGGAAGGACTTAATTGAAAAAGGGTACTTCTTTAAATAAACAATAGAAGATCTTGATCTTGCTGTAATTTATAACATTATTGCCACAGAATATCAAATAATTTAGTTCATGGGAATATCATTTTTTTTTCAATTATGTGCCATTGTTTTTACCTTATATTACCAATTAAGTTAAAGATCCCAATGTCTGTGTTTTCAGAATATTTGGCATTTTTTGTGCTGTGTCATGTATCTCATACTTAAAATCATGACTCATAGTTTTATCTCTCTTTTTCATTTCTTTTCAGTGCAAAGGTCCTAGTGCGTGGAGAGCCCAATGTGTCCTATATATGTTCCAGATATTATCGAGCCCCAGAACTTATATTTGGTGCTACTGACTATACATCACAAATAGGTGAGGTTATTAAGTGTATTAGATGCATTAGTTAAAGACAGAAAAAATTATTAAAATCTATGGAATGTAAATGAAAATTTAGCTTCTTTGAAGTCTTTGCATCAAAATTACATTTTCTTCTCGTGAACCTTATGGAAAGAAAAAAAAAAATGGAAAATGATTTAAGTTTCAGTTTCTTCTTGTGTTAGGGTCAGTTTCTCCATGACTAATGTCCACTATTGTCCACTGTTTCAGATGTGTGGTCAGCAGGTTGTGTCTTAGCTGAGCTCCTCCTTGGTCAGCCAATTTTCCCTGGAGACAGTGGGGTGGACCAACTTGTAGAGATAATCAAAGTTCTCGGAACTCCCTCAAGGGAACAGATCCGGGAAATGAATCCAAATTACCAAGAGTTTAAATTCCCACAAATCAAGGCACATCCATGGACAAAAGTAAGTTGTTTTAAAGATAACGATTTTTTTTCCCCAAAAAATAGGGAAGAGGTGTGTATGCATGGTGTTTCTATATACAATAAAAGCTGTTATTTGATTAGAGTTGGCAAGGGTTCACATTCTCACAAATTTAGGCACAACTGCTATATAATAGTCATTGTTATATCATGAACAGATTTTAAGGAAATGTTAAAGAACTTGTTTTATTGATTTTTTTTTATTCCCAAAGCAAATTTACATCAGGGTTTACATGTTAAAATATTGCATGGAGTCATATTTGTCTATGTTGAACTAACTAACAGCAAGAGTATTTAGTTTCTTATGTTTCTTAACAGTTGACTGATTATTTTGTCTGACAGGTGTTTCGGCCTCGCACACCTCCTGAAGCAATTAACCTGGTGAGTCGTTTACTGGAGTATACGCCAGGCGCACGGATATCACCGCTAGAAGCCTGCGCACACAACTTCTTTGACGAATTGCGAGATCCAAATTGCAGGCTGCCAAATGGAAGGGAGCTCCCACCTTTATTTAACTACACCCCTCAAGGTAGGTATTCCATAGGACATTACTATGATTATTTAACTACACCCCTCAAGGTAGGTATTCCATAGGACATTACTATGATTATTTAACTACACCCCTCAAGGTAGGTATTCCATAGGACATTACTATGATTAATATTCCCTATGGTAAAATTAGTGAAACTCTTAATTATTTATTGTTATTCAGAGAAGTTGTTTTTGTAAACTTAGACCCGGAACATGCACATAAACACACGCATACACGCACGCACGCACACATGCATCACAAGCATAAACTTTGTGTTATAAAAGTGAATTAATTATTTCACCCAGTTGTTTCAACTATTTCAGAACTGGCAATTCAGCCTTCACTGAATGCTATCCTAGTTCCCGCTCATGTCCGCCAGCAGCAACAGGAATCACCTGCCGCCCCTGCGGTCAGTCCCCCTCAACAGAATGACACTAGCAGTACCCCTGGGGCTGAGGCCACTCCCCCAGGGGCGGCTGCTACAGGGGGATCGGCGTGATGAAGGCGACACACCCCCTGGTTCATTACACTGAGACACTTACATACTTGGAGAAAGAGAGTACCCGATTGTGTATATCCTCATTTTAAAGCAAGGCTGGGATTTATATTCTGTGTGTATGAATGTCTTCTGAGAGCTGTAGACAATGTTTGTTTGTTTGTTTGTACACAGGATATGTGTACCAGAACCTGGAGTACGTGTAGGATGATGGGTTTTAGTTATGATCAGAATGGTTTCTTGGAAGGATTGAAGAGGATTGGAAAAACATGAGCTGGAAAGCCTTCTGGGAGGCAAGACCAAGGGAGAAAAAAAATTCAAATTCTCAGGCTGTCTTGTTCAGGTAGCAGTTCTAGTTGTGTGCCTGCTGCTGCCTGCAAGCTCCCAATGTCTTCATCTGGGACAGCTGATGAATAGTGTCAGACATCACGGGGGACTTGGGGACACATTTGTTTTAATTGTTTAATCATCACCATCAACAATAAAGAAGGAAGTGCACACGGATTCAGTTCAGTTGCATTAGTTCCGAAGAGCATTTTGTAAATCCTTATAGGAAATTGTTGTAATTGACCTGATCTTGAGTATCAGTGAAGAGGATGGATCCAGTTATGGTCATTAAGAAAATCCACAAAGAAAAGCAGCCATATAGAGCGAGTGTGTTAGTTGTGACGGAAATGCAACTCTGTTGCGATGGTGGAGACAGCCAGTGAGACCAACCCAGCTCAGTGTGTGTGTGTGTGATGTGGCTATAGTGACCCCTAATCATGCCACTGCCATTGGTTGCAAGATACTGTTCCATAAATAAGGTTGGACATGCACAAACTTTTACGAAGTGACAGTCCTGGTGTGTTTGGATCAGTGAATGCAGGCTCTGTATTTATACACCTATAAATATGTACTGCCGTGTAAGTAGTACTGGATGGAGAAAAAGAAACGAGTTGCGGAGCTCTCTTTTTGAAGAAACTAACAAGATGAAGTATGTTGGGGGGGGGGGGGGAATTTATTGATAAATAGGCAGTGAAACCAGTGTCTGCCTTTATATACAGGGTGTTTTCTTAATTTTAGCATAAACTGAAACTTTTTTCTGTAAAGGAAAGTACTTTAAGAAGTATGCTGGAGGCCTCTGCTGGCTAAGAAATTAATGAATTTAGGATGGGGAATGATTGGTCCTCATAAGAATTTCCTGTAACAATTTTTCCTTTTATTTTGGAAAATAACTTGAGACTCAGTATACAGTGGTGGTAAGTTCCATCCAAAGTTGTAGTGGTTTTATGGAGAAACAAAAAAGGAAAGAAGACAAGAACATTTTTATGTTGATTTTATTGCTGAATATAAGTGTAGATGTCTGTGAACGTATGTTTGTATGTAGTCATGGGAAGTGAACCACATAGGCCATTGATTGCCATAGAAGCTGGAACAGGAACTTGAATTGGCTAGCATTTATTTCTTTGTTCTCCTTAGTGTTGTTATATTTTCACCATCAAGTTATAATAGTAATGCTTGTTACAGGTAACTAAGGGAAACACCTGAAAAAGGTGTGATTCTCTCCCCCACTATCTGTGATTCTTCTTCTGCGAAGGCAGAACAATACCTCCCCCTAGTTTTTACTTCTTAAAATGATATAAGGTTGCAATTGGTTTTAAACCTCAGTTTTGTTTTGGCAATGGCAATGATGTCTCTGGTGTTGGCTACTCTATAATTAATGAATTGCAGGTGATTAAATATATTACTCTTTTAAACTATTTTTAAGCAGGAAAATTTGCTTGAATTGTAGGATGGGGAGTGGGCACGGTTTCAGTTCAGAGATACTCCCCCCCCCATGATTATAGTTTTTATATTGCATGTATTGAATAACACGGGGTGCCTTGTGTTTTCAGGGTAACCGTGTCAATTTCAGTCTTATGTTTTATGCGCAAGCACATCAAACTTGTGTTCCATGCGGAATATGAAAGTAAAACTTTCCCAGAAATGGGAGCTGGAATTCAAAGTTTGGTGAAGTTTACAATTGTTGGAATTGTCATTTATTTCTGATGAATTAATTACTCTTTTTGAAGCTCTGGCTTAATTTGTTATAAACAGATATCTGAATTGAACTTGGGGTCATTGTTTCACTGTGAAATCTAAGTTTACTCACCTGAATTATAGCCTACAATATGGCATATTATTGTTATTTTTAAAATTTGATCAGAACTTAGATCAACTGAAGAGTACTTCCTGCTACATAATGATAATGCGACGACTCTGAGGCAGTTTTAAATCATTTTGGATGGAATTTATGCTGGGACTTCCAATAGGAAAATGCTTTTTTTTTATCCAAATGACGGTTAGTGTTCATTAAATTGTATATTACACCTGGGAGGCAAGGAGTATGTGTTCACAGTTTGTTTAATATTTGTGAACAGAACCGAGTGGGTGGAGTGTGAACTGTGGGGTGAATCCTAACATGGTTGTTCTTGCACTGTTTCTACAGGGCTGATATAGACCATAAATTGCACCAACTCAGAATGGCCAAATTACCGGGAAAAAAAAGAGACCAGTTCACTGTTTAAAATTATCCTGGTCTAAAGGCATCTCAAGAGCAAGCCTGGCAGCAAGAAAGGTATCTGCTTCACACTTTACTGGAGATATAGCATAAGGTACAGCAGTCATCTCATTGATGTAGAACCTGTCATCCATTTGTTGTTCTCAAATGACCAAATTGCTCAGTACACTGGATAAAAGATGGGACACAAATGTGAAAATACACCACTTCGAATATAGCTGATGAGTTTTAGCCAAAGGACAGATTAACACCGCTCTACAGCTCACACCGTATTCACTCACAACTGTTCACACTGCATGTAGAAAATGTGAGCTTGAAAACTGAAACCATTCATTGTACTATATCATCTTAACGCCTATAGCATGAGGTTCATACGTCTTTGTCATAAACCCACCCCCTCTCCTCTGGGAATGGACCAGTCCTACTTGTGATATGAGGAATCAAGCTGGACTGTTCCATTTCTATNAAGAATTTCCTGTAACAATTTTTCCTTTTATTTTGGAAAATAACTTGAGACTCAGTATACAGTGGTGGTAAGTTCCATCCAAAGTTGTAGTGGTTTTATGGAGAAACAAAAAAGGAAAGAAGACAAGAACATTTTTATGTTGATTTTATTGCTGAATATAAGTGTAGATGTCTGTGAACGTATGTTTGTATGTAGTCATGGGAAGTGAACCACATAGGCCATTGATTGCCATAGAAGCTGGAACAGGAACTTGAATTGGCTAGCATTTATTTCTTTGTTCTCCTTAGTGTTGTTATATTTTCACCATCAAGTTATAATAGTAATGCTTGTTACAGGTAACTAAGGGAAACACCTGAAAAAGGTGTGATTCTCTCCCCCACTATCTGTGATTCTTCTTCTGCGAAGGCAGAACAATACCTCCCCCTAGTTTTTACTTCTTAAAATGATATAAGGTTGCAATTGGTTTTAAACCTCAGTTTTGTTTTGGCAATGGCAATGATGTCTCTGGTGTTGGCTACTCTATAATTAATGAATTGCAGGTGATTAAATATATTACTCTTTTAAACTATTTTTAAGCAGGAAAATTTGCTTGAATTGTAGGATGGGGAGTGGGCACGGTTTCAGTTCAGAGATACTCCCCCCCCCATGATTATAGTTTTTATATTGCATGTATTGAATAACACGGGGTGCCTTGTGTTTTCAGGGTAACCGTGTCAATTTCAGTCTTATGTTTTATGCGCAAGCACATCAAACTTGTGTTCCATGCGGAATATGAAAGTAAAACTGTCCCAGAAATGGGAGCTGGAATTCAAAGTTTGGTGAAGTTTACAATTGTTGGAATTGTCATTTATTTCTGATGAATTAATTACTCTTTTTGAAGCTCTGGCTTAATTTGTTATAAACAGATATCTGAATTGAACTTGGGGTCATTGTTTCACTGTGAAATCTAAGTTTACTCACCTGAATTATAGCCTACAATATGGCATATTATTGTTATTTTTAAAATTTGATCAGAACTTAGATCAACTGAAGAGTACTTCCTGCTACATAATGATAATGCGACGACTCTGAGGCAGTTTTAAATCATTTTGGATGGAATTTATGCTGGGACTTCCAATAGGAAAATGCTTTTTTTTTATCCAAATGACGGTTAGTGTTCATTAAATTGTATATTACACCTGGGAGGCAAGGAGTATGTGTTCACAGTTTGTTTAATATTTGTGAACAGAACTGAGTGGGTGGAGTGTGAACTGTGGGGTGAATCCTAACATGGTTGTTCTTGCACTGTTTCTACAGGGCTGATATAGACCATAAATTGCACCAACTCAGAATGGCCAAATTACCGGGAAAAAAAAGAGACCAGTTCACTGTTTAAAATTATCCTGGTCTAAAGGCATCTCAAGAGCAAGCCTGGCAGCAAGAAAGGTATCTGCTTCACACTTTACTGGAGATATAGCATAAGGTACAGCAGTCATCTCATTGATGTAGAACCTGTCATCCATTTGTTGTTCTCAAATGACCAAATTGCTCAGTACACTGGATAAAAGATGGGACACAAATGTGAAAATACACCACTTCGAATATAGCTGATGAGTTTTAGCCAAAGGACAGATTAACACCGCTCTACAGCTCACACCGTATTCACTCACAACTGTTCACACTGCATGTAGAAAATGTGAGCTTGAAAACTGAAACCATTCATTGTACTATATCATCTTAACGCCTATAGCATGAGGTTCATTACGTCTTTGTCATAAACCCACCCCCTCTCCTCTGGGAATGGACCAGTCCTACTTGTGATATGAGGAATCAAGCTGGACTGTTCCATTTCTATGAGAAAGGGGGTACATGTGCTGTGTTTGTTCTCATCACATTGTATAAACAATTATAAGCACTGTAGTGAAAAAATCAATGTGTTGAAATTCTTCAGTCTGTACTCCTAGTAATCCTGTAATGTCTGTAGCCATATTGTTACTATTGTATACATGTATATGTTGGTATATGTATATATATAAATATATATTTATATGTATGCTGCAGTGGGTTATACTGTATTAGCAGTGTAGGTAGACAAGGGCAATGCTTTGGTGACAATTTATATGGTGATCACTATGGTCACCTTCAATATGGTAACTGTTTCTATGGTTACTGACATTGTAATCCGTTGTAAGGATGTTGTTGAGTGCATTGCATCTGAATCCTGAATAATTCCATAAGATTTTACTCATTTTATGAGCACATGAATTTAATTCTTAGTGATTAAGTTATTAAATGTGAACAGAACATCTGTTATTTTAAAGAACACTGCCTAGCAACCCTTGTAACCATGACAACAATATGGCTATTTTCATTATTTTCCTTGTATGTAGTTACAACATAACATAGATGGATTCAGCATGTAAAATAAATTCATCTAGTCCAAATATTGAATTTTTGTTATTTTATTCTGCTCAACTGACAAATAACCTGTTAGCACAGTGAACGCAGTAAATCTTTCAAGGGAAAACACAAAACATTATTTTGGCATTAGCATGAGATCATCAAAAACGCAGAGGTAAAGATAAAGGCTTAAACCATCTACGTGTTCTGTGAACGTATAATTAAAACTGCAACAAATTAAAGTTCAGTATGTCGAAAAATCAAAACCTCTGTCATTTTTTCCCGATTAATACAACAAGCGCTGCAAAATTAGTCGTAAATGTGAATATATTTGTAGTATGAACTTTTTTTCCTGCAACCACCCTTTCCGAAAGTTACCATTTCGGTTATGCTTCTGTAAATTTTATTTTGTCTAAGATGAGATTTGGCCTGGATTAAGGAAACAACGAGGACCAGCTGCTTTATTTTGACATTCTCATGTATGGGGCTATTCAGAATACATGCTCCGAGTACTAACTGATCCGCCGACTAAATTTGGCAAACGATTTGCCGCTTATTCCATGATGGTCTCCCCGCCTCCACACGCGCCGTCACTGCAGGGACCTAGCACTTAAACGTCGGAGCCGATATTTAATCCGTTTAATGGTGCGTGTGGAAGCGGGGAGACCATTGGGAATCAGCGGCATCGCTTTTAAAGTGTGGTCGACCATATTTAGTCGGCGGATCAGTTAGTACTTGGATCTTCTGTTCTGAATGGCCCTATTCAGATTAGGGGACTAACTACAGGCCAACCCAACTACCAGACTCGGCACCGAATGATCCTGAATTCACCGGTAGATCAGACCACACTACCCGTTTTCAAGGTGTGAGTCAGTACGCATTACACAGTATCATACCCTGAACAAATTTTGAGTGGTGATGCAATGCTTTTCAACCCCCCTGAGAATCGTCACTATCACATCGCGTACTAGGCAAGAGCGGTGTCGCGTCTGATACTGTGTAATGCACACACACACACACCTTGAAAACGGGTAGTGTGGTCCAATTTACCGGTGAATTCAGGATCATTCGGTGCCGAGTCTGGTAGTTGGGTAGGCCTGAACTAGTCCTATGGTCAAATATGACGACCCACCACAAAGCTTGCCGTCTAATCCGCTAATAGACACTGAATAGATATCCCGTGGGGAACTATTCAAGTGGGTGGGACATATTTGACTTATTTTTATTATATTTGACATATTTGATTGGTCCGATACGGGTGCTCATATAGAGATCCGAAAATTAAGCTGGTGCGCATCGAAAAAAAAACAAAACGGGATATTTGTTTTATATCAGATTTGCAAAGTAGCTTTTGCAGGTTACAAAAAGCAGTTTTTTGAAAATCAACATGATTGGATAATATTTATGAAAATAATTGATTTTTTCTTAGTTTAGATCTAAGTAAAAGCAACAACATCAAGTGACACAGAAAAACGCATCTTTATTCACATCCCGATCCAATGCGGTAAATAATAATCCCCAACCTCCACCTGTTTGTGTAGGACAGACCCATGCAACGGCCAGTCTTTATAGTAAACTGCCTGTCCTCTGTTCATCCAGGCCCCCCACCACCCCAGGGGCCCTGTAGTCAGGATGGTATGATTACAGTACACCAGCAGTGCCAGGTCCATACTCTCTGCTTTCCTCACTTTGTCTAAGAAAACTACGTTTTTGAGTATTAAATTTTTACGACACCAAGACATGTCGTCTGAGGTGACTATGAATAAAGATGAAGGGAACTTGCGCTGAAAGTAAGAAATGGCGCGTAAGATGTAGTCCTTTGGCGCCAGCCGGTCGCCGTATTTCACGCTTATTTCTGGACGGAGGGTGCGCTTAACGTGAATCCCAATCGTTGGTGCTTCTTTGGGAACGCTGTGCTTCAGGCGGTTTTTCTTAATGAAACGCTCGGCTATGGTGCGGTCTATGTTCCCGTTAAGTAACTGCTCTCTAATGTCGCTCTCCACGTGCTCAAAATATCGCCACGATTTAAAATGCCCCACTAGTTCCAGATGAGCGTTCTGTAAATCTGTCATGCCTTCATAATAGCGACAGCAATCGGGTGCCTCTGTTACTTTTTTGTACTTAAATCCTGGCTGCCAGACGCTTGTTACATTTGTCTTTAATCTCTTAAAATCCGTCCGAATGGGATTCCCAATGTATATCAGAGGCACATGGTTGTTAGCTTTGGCTATTCCGTATAAAGAAGCATACAGAAATATCAAAGTACCTAAGTCGGCTTTGGCGAAAGTTAAAATCGTCATGTTGTACTTCCCGTCAGGGTTTGGAATTTTTGAAAGGGTCACATTTTCCACATCTTTCAGAGCATCGGAAAGATCCCGAAAAATCCGTATATTGCCATTTTCGATCATTTCCATCCCTCTCATCTGCGTGTGCAAACCTCCAATTTTGTATAAATCATAGAGGTCGCTCCCGTCGCCGTAGCGGGATTCGAAAAAGACCTTATTGACGATAGCTTTAAACTGGTCCCTTGCGTCTGCTTCTAATTTTGACGCTACCCTTTGAAACGCTTTCGCCTCTCTGCTGGATTCTAGTTCGTTGTGGTGCTTTTCTTCAAACAACCAGAGTTTGCTGATGAGATAGACCACACCCAAGAAAATCACGACAAGTGTTGCGTTGAAGCGTTTGATCTGGATGGAATTGACCATCTTCAGGGATGTAGAACCTAGGTCTGCTGTAAAACTAGAAATTAGTCGTCTCATAAAAATGTCTTATAGACATGCTTTTTCTATTTTGTTAAAACAAGCCTAGATATATATCTATTAAACAGGAACTATCTTTGAAAGGAATTAGGAATAACAGGCGTCATCAGATATTTTTACCTCTTTTACCATTATTCCTTTTCTTTTTCCCCCTCAACATTGCCAAATGTTAGTAGAAACACTTGTAGTAGTGCTATATGCCAATAAGATCTGTCATACGGGGGGGGGGTCTTCGGCGCAAATAGGGTAGCTATTATCAGCTGGTCGTCTGACGTCAAATGTTGGACTTAAATTCGTTTCAAAGAAGTCCCTGTCTTGACAGAGTTTGCAATATCATCACGTTCTTATTAGGATGCAACATACAGGGTGTACTGTTTTGTATTATTCTTTCATTCAAATGGCTAATTGGAGTGATACACATATCCACCGCGGTCTAATTTCTTATCGTCTACGTGAAATTAGTTTGGTTTCCGAGGGTTGACAAAAGTGCAATATGCCCCTGGCGGATCTCGGTTTTTGCTGTGTGTGTGTGTGTGTGTGTGTGTGTGTGTGTGTGTGTGTGTGTGCGCGGGCAACAAGCACGAGCAATATCGCTTATATGTAGCAAATGACACGAGGTCACGCATCCAGTCATCAGAGAAATATGCAAATGTAGATGTGGGATAATATTGCCATCAGTGCGTGAGGGCCTGTGTGTGTACCCGGTGGACATGCAGCACTGTGTGCATATGGGAACTCTAACGATGAGATTTAAGACATTCGCCTGTCAGCTCATCTGGTTAAAGGTCGTCATAGAGCCATGCAGAGGTGACAAAATGACACAATGTACAAAGACAGGAAAATATTCTACGTTAGACCCATGGCGCAAGGGTCCTTAGATAGCACCTGTCAACTTAATCTGCTATCAGATATTTATTATTTAGGGCCGTGTTGAAATAACAAATCAACAAGATATCCAATTAGACCAAGGCACGGGGAGATATACAACTATATATACCTTCAAACTCACCTGGTGTTTGTCCTTGTTACACAGAAGTGGTAAGACCCAGACCCGTCATAAGACAACTGCAAAACAGCCACAAACAAACACGCACGTGTCCCTTTCACATAGAATATAGAACAGGTGTATTATGTTGCCTAAATCGCCGTTTTCTCTCTCTATATTGTCGTGAATAATGCAGCTACGCATTGCGATTGGTCCTAATGGCTCTTCGTCACGCTTATGGAGTCTAAATGCACTTTCTTATGCAAATCGACATGGTCCATGCATTTAATGACGAATTTGGTTATCTTGTGTTATTTTGACTCTGGGGCATTTAGTTCAATTAGCAGCCTACTTTGAATATTCTGTATCCAGTAAAACTAGTTGGTGACTGATAGCCAAAGCGGTAATTACGTAATGTGCGTTATTTTAATGTGCCTTAAATATCCAATGTTAAAAGGATCTTAAAATGCGTTTTTAATGTTAAAAATTTTCATCTGACAAAAACACCGGCATATCTCAACCCGTGGGCGTATGATAAATTTTTGATGCGAAGTTTTTGGGGAAATAAACCTTACATTTATGTGTTCCCCGGTAGTAACGTTTAAATACAGAAATGTAAAGGTATGTATGTTATCTGTGTTTAAAACTGTCCCAAAATCATATTTATAATTGTCTACATATCCTGCATTACTCCTAATCGGTCACAAAACTGACCTTAAAACCCATAATATACCTAAAAAAAAACAACCTGATGTCGATATTACCTTCTGAAATGTACAGGAATGCATGGCGGTCTAAACATCACGGGAAACGTATACTTAAATTAGAAAGGAATTGTTTAATTAAAAATTGCGTAAAACAAATCCAAGTACAGGGACGAGTGGGACAATAATTCGAGAGTTTGAGAAAATAACCCTTTTTAATGAAAAATCCAGATAGGATACCTTCAAATTTAATCATATTACTTAACGACAAGTGCCAATGTGGTAAAGAAGAAATGGAAAAGAATAACAAAAGGGAAAAATCAAACCTTAAAATATAACACGAAAACTTCCTCTCATAAGAAGGCTAACCCACGTTCAACTTTCTCTCTCTTGAGAGATTATTCCAAAAAAAAAAAAAAAAAAAAAAAACGGAATAATTTTCAATGTCCGGATGCATTCATTAACCATTGGTTACTTCGGGAAAATCGTCATATGCCCAAGGCAATTTTTTCCCTAGAACGAACAGTTGTTATCTTGTGACTCACACTTGTATCCACTGGAAGATTGTTGATTTTAAAGCTACGAAGTTAAAATGGGAAGTTTACTTTTGGATTGCTGATTGAGACCAAAAGATATGTAGTTGATATAAATATTTGGCGCTAAGCTCAATCAAGTTGATGGTTGATAATTTAATCTTATTATTTGTGACAGATTTAAGTTTTTTTTATTAGTTATGACGCTGTTGACACCCAATATGGTCTCCAAAGCTTAAAATATACAACACTGGTCAAATAGGTTGTCCCACCCCTGATTCCATGTGCTTTTATTTACGAATGATCACCTCACATGTGTATATATATTGCTATAAACAGTGCTTTTTATTCCACATACCATATCTTACATGACTAATGGTTTAGAAAATACAAAATAACGGCGAAAATATCCATATTTTATATCATTTACTAACACTTGTAACATGTAACCCCTCAAATCCAATTGAAAAGACGCCACCGAATATCACCAAATTTACACACAATTAGCATTGCAATGTGTTCGTTGAGGGTCCCGTGTCTAATAGCGTGTGTGTCTACAGCGAACTGCAATTATCTCCTGTAGGCGGCGTGACAAGCCTTCAACAAGGGTAACAATTCTGTTTTGTGGAATATTATCCCATTCTTCCTGAAGAGCTTGGGGTGTTGGTCCCGATTATAAGGGGGTTAGTTCTCCTCTGCATTGCACACTCCAACTCATGCCAGAGGTATTTGTTCCATCCTCAGAACATTATTGTGTTTCTGCAACAAAACACTTCCCAGACGAGAGCTGTGAGCAGGTGTGCTGGCATGATGATTTTTCCAATGTTTTACTACCTCTTAACCGTATTTAGCCATATTTTAGTTGTGTCTTTGCCTCTCATGCATGTAGGGGAAGTTGTCTTCCCGTGGTCAGTATAAATGGATAATTGCAAATGCAAAACTGTGGGTAAATGTTAAGTAGAGAGACTATGGTCCGTAGCCAGCAATTTCAAAGTTGGTGGGGGGGGGGGGGCGTGTGACTTTTTCTGAAAAAGTGGACCTTTTACCATGGAATCTCTGTGCACATACATTACATTTTATCCCCGGAAAACTCTCTCTCTCTCTCTCTCTCTCTCTCTCTCTCTCTCTCTCTATATATATATATATATATATATATATATATATATATATATATATATATATATATATATATATATATATATATTTGTATAACAGAAAACGCTTGAAGTGATGGGTGTGTGGGTGATAACGGATATGTGCCTGGATAGCTGTGTGGATAAGCGGACAAATAAATGGATGGATGGATGGATAGATACCTTGACTGTGTAACATGTGTTAAAGTCTTGATTTGTGAATAATGTGTAAGCGGAAGAATGCGGCCATACTTCTTCTTTTCATACCTCATTCTTCATTCTTTTCTTATCTTACTTTAACTCGTGTATAGGATATTATCGTTGAGAGAGAGAGAGAGAGAGAGAGAGAGAGAGAGAGAGACCACTCGACAAAATAAGAGGTGGTCTCGACAAGGATTAACAGGGAATGTCAATATTTATTAAAATACTTAAAGAGATAGTGTCACAAAATTTCCACATCCCAATCTCAAACAAGAAATGCTTGATGCTTAACCCCAAGTATCCTATCACGACCAGAAACAAATTATTCATGACGAAGCATAGTTTGAAATACTACACGTAATAAAACCCAATTGCAAACCAGGCTAAAAATGTTAAAAGTGACTCATATCCACTGTACTGGAAGTGAGTTAATGGATTTTTAAGGTAAGGTCACAATGGAAAGTTTATTTTTGGCTTGCTGATTGTGACCAAAAAGATATAATAATAATAATAGATGCAAATATTTAATGCTAAGCTCAATTAATCTGCTAGTTGATCAGTTTTCATATTATTTGTCACAAATTTTAGTTTTTTTTCAATGCTGACGACTATTTACACCCAACATGGCTTCCAGAGACCAGAAAACATGATCGAGACTGTCATAAAGTAGTCGGTAGGTGACATTGCCTGGATTTTGTGTAAACGTTTTGTGGAATATTGGTTCATTGTTTTAATAAGGAGAGATAAAAGCTTATCTGTTGAGCTAATGAAAGACTAGCGATACTTGTGAATAAGTAATTTTCCCAGAGTCACCTGTTTTCTGTTGGTGGAAATACCTGTTCTAAAAATAGCATAGAAAAAATTCCACTGAGTAAAATAAACTTTGATCTGTGCCAGTGTTTAAAAATCCGTTGATGCAGTCGCGCCTTCGTTATACAATTCTGGAAAACGTAAGTATTATTGGAATACGTTTATTTCTTCAAAACATGGCTTTTGCTGCAGGTTCAAATGCACGCAGATTGAACGGTGCAATTGCACCGCACGATGACCTAGTTACGCCTGTTGATTTAACATAATTATATTACAAGGTGGACTAAGGTCGACGGCATAGTTACGGGCATTACAGGAAAATACATGTGCACGCGCATTATTGTGACCACCTAGTTAAAAAATTGCACGCTATCCAATTAGGACAAAGTGCTGGCTATTTTACAAGGACATGATAGGCTGCTATATAGCATACTGTGCATTTGACTAATAGTAGAGTTTAGAGAGAGCGCCATGGCGATGCTATCATGTGACTGAACTCCCAACGGCGTCTTTACAGGGCTTTTCAAAGGTCATCGTATGCTGGTTTCGGTAATAAATGCAGAAAAAAAATCCTGCTTAGTGCACTTCGGATGGAAAATATGTAAAGACGAGAGGCGTAGTCCAAATATACTGAAAAACATGCAAACTGATAGATTTTTCCAAGAAGGTAGAGAAGATTATAGAATTTTGGGAATTTCCAATGTTTGCATTGGAGCTCATAGGCCTAAGTGACTGTGAAAGGAAGCCAGCTGTAGTAATGACTGAATAAGACTGCATTCCCACAGATTTTAGATCGATCTATCCCCGTGAGGAGTCTCACTAGATAGCTGTCAGCTTTACCGGCTTAAATGTCTGTCCCGCTTACTTTCAAATCTAATTTTGGTATTGAAAAAAAAAAAAAAAAAAAAAACAGGTAAATTTTGCACTGCAATTTTTCTCCTTTGCACAAAAATACTAGCGATAGCGCGTGAGATAATTTTTATATTTAGTAACTCGGTTTTGATATCAAAACTGGCTTATTTTATCACTCTGTTACTGAATCCGTTTTATCTCTTGGATTAAATTAACTTATCATGGTGATTTAACCTATCTTATCTCCCTCTTTTTTTAGAACAATTCCAACTCGTTCATCCATTTCCCCGGAAAACCAAAACCAAAACAAATCCCTCCTTTCCCATATCACGGACAGACCGCAGCTAGGAACGGAAACCATGTCTTGCCACCAGAGTCAGAGAAAATCCCAACTCCAGACTTGCGGATCCGGTGAATTAAACCGCAGTCATCTCGAGCACGAAAGCGAAATGCTGACAGAGACAGCGCTGAGCGTCCCCGAGTTGCATTCAGCTGAAACTGATCCACACGTTATAAAGAGAAGGCCTTATGCCGTGTCGCACTCTAAATCTCGGGACAGCGGATACGATGAGGCATTATCGTTATTCAGTCTTGCAAAAGAGACTACCAAAAAGGGCAGGGACAACAAACAATCTAACAAATTCTTTACGTACAAAAACTCAGAACAAATAAGTATGGGCGGTCATCAGTTAGATGCAATTATTCCCGCTGAAAGTGGTGGTTTAGAGGTTCCAAAAAGCGTCGCCTCGGACCAGAAGTTAACAGGAAAAGGGGCGCCTTGTAAAAGACCTGAATCATTCAGTGACCGTTCTGGCACCCCCGATGCTGCATATCAAAGCCTTTCTGATAATAGCCTCAATGAGTTTCTAAGTACTGAAGAACAACTTAATGAAGCAACAGAAAAAACCAACCTTGATTCACCATTCAACGTAAAGCCAAAAACTGAAACTGGCACTGACGTAGAAAGCAATGAGCGAGAAATTGTTACCGAAAATATTTGTGATGGTCTATTGGGGAAGCGTGGCAATTCTCAAAACAAGCGGCCGCCAATAACACCCAGAAAAAGCATTCAAAATAAGCCCGCTAAGAACAGTACTTCCAATTTAAGTCGGTTGGAAAGTGAATCTCACGCAAGCAAACCAGCACCCGACAAATGTGCAACGGACTGTGCACCTCAAACAATATTGCCGTCCAATTTCGAGGTTAACCCGTGTCAGGTGCGTAGTCATGCCGAGATAAATTCACCAACAGACGATCCAGATCAGAAATTCAGAGAACACCCAAATCAAATAAACAATGATTATGAAATAACTTCGGTAGGAAGGGTTGCTGAGACACAAACAGATCCAAGTCTTTCATACTCGTATAACGGGAACGCGAAGAATGAACAACGTCTGCTCTCCGAGATTATTTCACGGCTAGAAGATGAAAAGAAAGGACTCGGAATTGAATTAAAAAAGGTAAGATATTTGTATATTACTGAAATAATGAAAAACTTTTCTTTTTTCTTTTAAAGATATCATTTCGGTGTTCAATTTGCTGAATATATTTTTTCAATTATTTTATTTTCAGGGAGGGGCAGTTTTAAAGAAAAAATTACCCTTTGGCAGTGAGCCACTTATAAATGCTTTGTCGTCCTGGTACAGCAATGATTATAAAAATTCATCAGTTATAAATTTAGTACATTCTTATCACTGGTATCACAACTATGGGGATTTTTGTCGTCAGTTTGAGTGATTGATTTATCGACAGTTTAATCATTTATTCATTTTGCGATACCATTGGAATATTTTACGTGCAGTTCTGCACTTCTCCGCAAGGCGTGCATTCATCTCATACCCTCTTAACTAATAAAAAACCGACATGTGAATGAAAAAAAGTACATATGTAGGAAACTGATTTAAAACATCACTTTTTTCAAACTTGGCCAATTTCATGTATTTAAGCACTTGGAGGTCGCTGGGGCATACAGCGCATCGAAAATCCAAATATTAGTAGATACCAAAAGCATTGTGAAAACTACAGAATGTTGTCTTGCTTTTTGCAAGTGTGAACTGGGGCATTTATAGCGACAAAACTTCATGACTAAACACATTTGGTCGTTACGATGATGTTAAGTAGATCTAAAGGAAAAATGGATGACTCAGTCGTCTAATGCAAGACGGGAAGGAAAATCACGTTCTGAAGTGTATAGAAGTACTTGCAAATACTCAAAATTGAGACAAGTGAAACAGGTGTCTATTTTACACGCACTCTCAGCCCCAAAGCACGCACGCGCACAAACACAAAACACAATCAGACGCACTTTTGTACAAACTATTCTAAGGGCGAGAACGACATATCTCATGTTCAACGCTATATATCGTTTTCTGAATTTGCACTTACGCGTTCTCTTTCTAGTCAACTACAATTTTTACGCCCACGTTACTTCCATAAATAAAGTTTTATGAAGTTTTCCATTTTAAAATAACTTTTAAAGAAGGACTCCGCCCATATGCTTAACATTACTCATAGGGCGTAGCCTGCGTAACTTTTACCTTAGCACTGTGATAATGATCTTAACGAAAAGACTTCCTTGTTGCAATGCTATTTTCTCTTTATGGTGATATTAAAATCAAAAGGGAATATATATATTTAACATTCGTATCAAAAAGCCCCCTATCCAATTCTTCTTTAGGTTTTAGTTTGCAGGAAGAAAAATGTAATGATTTAAAGTTTGTCAAATCATCACGGAAGTTGGAGGTGATAAAAGAATTGTAAACGAAGGAGGATGAAATTGCAAATAAGAATCATGCAGTTAATCATAGATAAGAAAAAAGTCGTAACTCCCCTCTTCAAGCTTGAAAGTTGTGTGTTTACCCGGATATGATTTAATGAAGGACGTTGTGTAACTTCCCTTAGTTACAAACCCTTCAGAAATTCATTTTTCTTAAACGCTCTTTTGCTTTTACTGGCGGGCCTTCCTCAAAACAGCAGCCTGCTTTTCAGTTATTCATTAAGTATTGCAAAATGGGTTAATAGAAAATTAGACTTCCTTTTTCAGAAAATTGATTTCCTAATTTCTCGAATATAAAGTGTAGTGAGTTTTTAAGGCACTGCATGAGGAAGTTGGACCAATCAAAACAAATCAAAGTTTTAGGAGTTTGAAAATAAATTCAATCTGTCTTCATTAGCTTTAGTCAACCGTAATACTGCTAAGAGCAACTTTGTAGGTGAAACTTATAAGTTGGTTTTGCTAGCCTTTAGCGAATTACCTGTACTAAGGATTGCAGATCATATAATATTTGTATATAATGTATATAATATTTGTATATTTTAAAGTAAATGAAGGGAACAAAATGAGAACAAACCTTTGTGATTATTTTGAGTTGTACTTTTCAAACTTATGTGAGTGCGTTTTATTTGTTTTATATTTAGGATATTTTACATTTACAGGTGATATGTTTGAAAACCTTTGCTTTAAGAATTTATTTGTTTCGAAGAAAGTTTTTTTCACAATATGATATCTTTTAATTAACGTTGCAATCTTTTTTTAGTTACAAGAGTCACAAGAGAAAATGAGTCGTCGAATACGAGAGGTTAGTACATAAACCATTTCATTTACATAACTTAATTACATTCAGTTTTAATACAATTATATTTTCTATATATATAACGTAGTATTTTTACGTTATATGGAGACGGACTGACGCATATTCAATTATTGTTACGAATATTTTCTATATGTTATAATTTCGCACCACGACTGATGAACCCGAAGTGTTGGTTGATCTTTTCATGAAAATTTATCTTATTTATTGAAATGTACTTGGAGCGCATAAGCTTGGAATAGTATTTAGCTGCACTCTGACTACTGGGTGGGCTAGTAGTCTGTTACAAAAATGTTCAATGGCACAGTATAATTTTGTATACTATTTTAGGAGCCCCCACTATAAGAGGGTGGTATTTAGCGGTCTTTATCAATCACAGCACAGATGACTTCTCTGTATGAATAGGTACACATAGCTCCCTGCTTTAAAACTCTTTATTCTTTCATAACTAGATATTTCATTCAGCAGTGAAGGGATTTTATTTTCTTGTGCCTAAAAATATTCCCCTATTCTTCAGCTTGAGGAGGCTAACAGGGAGTGGGCCAGTTACGATGCACAACGGGAAAAGTATGTTCAGAATCTGCTTCGAAGAATAGTGGGGCTGGAGGAAAAATGCAGAAAGGATTCCACAGAAAACCAGCAGGTAAACCTAAGCTGTTTCTTTACAGCATATATTTATTCTTGCTCACGCATGTTGCAAGTTAAACAATAAAAGTGCGTGCGTACGTGCACTTTAATTTTCTAAAGATATTGTCAGTAGATTTAATTCTCAAAAATAATTCTGTTTTATCCTCTTATCTAGCGAACACGAACACGAAAACCTTTTTCATGGTAGAATCTTTATCTTTATAAAGTAGATTGTATTCTCAATTTTTCCATTATTTATATTACATGTATTACTCTTTTCTGTATTACTCTTTTCAGTTAAGAGACGAAATCTCACGCCTAGTAGCAGATAACAAGAGACTTGCACAGACCATCAAAGAACTGAAAGACTCAGATTCCAGCAGCAAATTGAGGGAATGTGAAGATCAGTTGGAACTGCTGCAGGAGCAAGTTCGACAATGTACAAAAGATTTCGAGGCCGAACGCGGAGACAGAGAGAGAGCCGAGAGTAAAGTGGCTACCCTGGAAGATGAACTCAGATCTCTCAGAGGAATGGTGGGTGCAGTTTTTGCTTTGCCCGCACATTGGTATTTCACACGCGAGAAACTATTACCTCAGCCCATTGCGTTTTCAACTTAAAAAAAAGTTAATCTTAATATAATGGTTGATAAACCAGTGTAAAATTGCAAACAATTAGTCATCGTTCATCAGTTAAGGGTTTGTGAAGTGCGGTCTCTGTTTGTTTCTTCTCACACTTTGTAAGAATGCAGATATGAAATACGTCGCAAAGAAAAGTTTTTTTTCCACACCCCAAAAAAAGCACCCTGCAAAAAGATTTCCCTTTCTTTGAGAATAACGATGTACTTTTTAAAGTACATTACACAGTACAGCAAGCATGCCCCCACCCCCTACACACACACAAGGACAAATAAAGTTGAGAAAGATTGGTGTTGATTTCACCATTTTCTCTTGGAAGTGGGGTGTGGGGGGTCCGTCAGTGTCATTCAATACTTTTTAAAGTACATTACACAGTACAGCAAGCATGCCCCCACCCCCTACACACACACAAGGACAAATAAAGTTGAGAAAGATTGGTGTTGATTTCACCATTTTCTCTTGGAAGTGGGGGGGGGGGGTCCGTCAGTGTCATTCAATACTGCACTTCGGTATTAAAGGTGTGATAGGCAATTCTATGTCCTTTGATCGTCTGGTAAATTCATTAAATTTTAGACAATTTCCAAAGTTCCTTATAAATACACATTAATTTTATTTTCAAAAGAACCAACAGAGTAGGCTTACTGGCCGGGGGCGGCCTTCCGTTGAGGTGCCAGCATTTGAAGCTCAACAAAGAATTGCTGCAACAGATTTCCGAAGAGAGCAGCTAAGTCAGTTAGTAGCAGATTGTCAACCTCACGGTGAAGCGAGAACACCTCAGGTATGCCAGTCACGGCTATCAAAATATATTGATATACATTGAGAGAACAGTTTCATTAGCTCTGTATGTATCAATTCAAATTATTGTTTTTCTTTTTATCACGAGCTTGTAAAATATGTGGGTATTACCTCCAATATTTCTGTGACTGTCAGTCACCATCATCAGGGAGTAAATGACTAGTCCCTTGATAAAAAGAAAAACAATACTTTGAATAAATATACATTGTGTATGAAGTTAAACTTTGCTCAAGGGGTTATTGTTCACTTGACCACCGAGTGGTATGCTAAAGTATTCTATTATCACGGTAGTTTTCGAACAATAGGAAAGAGTATCTGTGTGTGTGTTATATGATTCAGTGGTCATTAACTTGAGATGTATTCATGAGATCAAAAAGTCATACCAGGAAGTTAAACACAGCGATTCTATTGTTAATGGCAATTAATAAATCCAAAAGGAGTGTTAACTTTATCAGAAAATTTTCTGTACAGACGTGTTAAAATTCCCCACTGTAAAATTGCAGAAATTTCTTTAAACTTGTTTTGAAACTGAGTCTTATCTAACTATCTCTATTAGTCCAAAGAAAAAGCAAAAATGGGTCGTATATGTCACTGGAAAATTTTTGTTTTGAAAGCGAAAGTGAAAGCACTAGCAGTACCAGTTTCCCATTACGTCATAAACTGCCCTTAATATTGAAAGTGATGGTGAGTTAAATATTCTCTTTTATTGTCACTTTCAGACGCTGCGCAGTCGCGGCTGTGCCGAGGAAGCCAGGTTCTTTCCACATTTCGGACTTCCTCATCAACAACTGGAAGTCGACTGTCATACAGGTAATGACCAATTTGGACTCTCTACCGAACCACGTGATCAGGAAGTTTGGGATCGAGGCTTTAACAGAGGCATGGATTGTGCTGATGGCGCCGCGGGGTTAAATGATGCAAAACTGCGTTGTCCAAAATGCTGGAGAGAGTACCCGCCACACCGCCATTTGGAATTGTTAGAGCACATTGATATTTGCTGTGATTAAAGTCAAAAAGGCTCAGAATGATTTCCTAGATACCTCCGCCAAAGAGGTGATGTTATCACGACCGTTTATTGCTTTTTTCACTAAAATAAACCAAAAAGTTACGGGCGAAATTTGATGACAATTTCAGGCTAGGTCAAAAGTATGATTACTTACAAGTGGTAAGGTTTTTGTGACCCCGATCCCCATTAGGATCCAGGACTTGAAAAGTAATCTGGAGCAAGAGCCAATGACCTGACTAAAAATCAAGAAAGGTGCTATCAGGTCTAGTCGTTGTGCAATGAATGTGCTCTCAACTGCTACAATGTGTCAGTGTCAGGTTTTTGGTGGAAGTCAGCGCTCTCTGTGGGCTTTGCTAGTATTTTCTGTGTATCAATCCTAGCATAAATGGAGAGAGGGGGCATGTTTTTACAAAATAGATAGCGTGATACCGTTAGTTATTAAAATACAAAACATTTATAAAAATTAAATAGGTAAGGGATAGATCTTACTTAAATTTGCCAAAACATGTATCAATGATCAGAGACATATAACGTGTATGGAACACTTGTAACGGAGCAAGTAAGTAACATAATTATTCCAGTTTAGTCCTGTGATACCGGATAAGAAACAAAACAAGCGTATTAATTAAAACGCTAGTAGATATGCAGGTCATTCCACGAAATAGTGAACAATTGGGTCGGGCCAGTGACGCACACGTTTTGTGTAATAATTGCACAACTGTTTTTTATATCACTATTTAATTCTTGATGATGTTTTTACCTATTCGAGGGAACTCAAGTGTAACAAAAAATGTGTCAAATAATAAGTGTAAAAATAATAGAGCAAGGCAAAAGTATTCTTATTTATTTATTTTGGAATGGCCCGTTTTAGAAAACAGATAGAGGTTTGATAATTTTTGACTCTACACACATAGTATCCGAGGAAAAACATATCATCTAATATTAACTTCATTGTTGCCATCATATAATATTCAGGTATTGGAACACAATCCAAACAGCGTTTTTATGTGAGGGAAGATATCGATATGCACACAATATTGAGCACCGAGTTCTTTCATGTGTGTGTGTGTGTGTGTGTGTGTGAGAGAGAGAGAGAGAGAGAGAGAGAGAATGAGAGAGAATCCCCACCTCAGGGTCATTGCAATAAAGAAGTTAATAGTACTTTTATGTAAATATATATTGTGAACTGATAATGTTATGTGAACTAATGCACTGGGGTACATGCTATTCGGACGCTCCTGTAAGGAACATGCATGACTTCCCTCAAAAAAATTAAAAATAATAATAGTAAAATAAAAAAAAAATGATGGCACGGCTTATCCAAAAACAATGAACACATTCAGCTTAGTGAACTTATTTTGCTATCAAGTTCAAGCCTCGAAAGGGTCTGAACTTGAAAACCTCAATGTGATTTTTTTTCTTTGGCGAGAAATACAGAGGTTTAAAAAGATATTTTAGGACACAGTTGCTCTTATATTTTGCACACTGATAAAGATAAACTAAACTCTGGATACAAAGAAATTTAACGCCGTTCAAAGTGGAGTAGAATATGTATTTAAAATAGTAAAACGTACAAAGAATGATTGTATAACAGTTGTTAAGATGAAGAGCTGCTAAATTTGCATGTTCTTAATCTGTGATATACGAATAGCGTCCCAGAATTAAATGCCATCATATACGATGTTTTATTACTGTGCAGAAGTTAAAATAATAATATTTTGATGAAAAATACATTTAAGCTTTTTCAGCTTTGTTTAAATAATATACATGAATGTTCGCATAGCATTTGCGGAAAATTGAAAATATATGCAAAAACGAATTTCCTATAGGGTTCTATAATAATTGAATCCAAAGTTCAAATCAAAATAGCAACAAAGCTAACATGGGTACCTATCATTTTAATATCATAATATGGATGCAACAGTGTCATCTATGCAAGTAAAAGAAATTAAGAAAAATGGAGAATAAAAGAAAGCATTTCTACATTCCAAGTTAGTTCGTATTGTTATTTTTCTCAAAAGTTTGGCTTTTTTAATAACCTTTTTAAATAATCTTATAATTTATATATCTTGAAATTTGAATTTCATACGAAGATTTCTTATAACTCTAAGTCTATTGGTATTCCGTCCACTGAAGCAAAATCGGGGGTAAAACGGAGAACGCGCTAGTATTAAAGGCTTAATCTAATCTAATGACTATAACAATTCTTCTCCCATTATATGTTATTACATCAGAATTTAAATAGCTCTGTTAAATAATCCACTATATTTCACTCCATAAGCTTGGGGGGGGGGGGGGCATATAAAAATGGTCTATCGGGAAATAGTGTCATTAGAGGCGCTTAGTAAATGGAAAAAACCAAAAAAAAAAAAAAAAAAAAAAAAAAACCAAAGCACCTCATTAACGAGTATTTCTCCAGCCACTCGGGTAGAGAGTCAACTATCATCCATTTGTTTACAATATTTCTTCTTCTATTTCATTCCCGTTTTGGTTTTACTATATTTTGAAACGATTTCAACCTCTGTTGATACCAGTATAGACCGCATTGATTTTGGGTCAGGGCTATCGACAGCATAACAACATCTATTCCATCCTGCTGGGAAACCAGGGGATTCCCCTAGAAAACTTTACGCGCCATAACTCTACCCTATACAGTATATAAATAATAGACAGAAACTAAATATAGACTATGGAAAATCCAAGCTTTCATTTTGAGAACCTCAGTTTCTCTACCCTAGGTGAGCTTGGCAAGGTACAGGTTCCCGCGGGTCTTGTAGGTAAGAAACAGAAAGGGAGCATTTCCTAAACAAAAGCAGATTTGTAAATTGCGTCGTTCATTTCAGCTGATATTCATTATCTGATTCATGGTCGTTTCAGTTTCTCAGATAACCCGTAACTACATGTATGTTTGCAAGTATGGTGAGCGAAAGATACATCAGTTACTGTAGCTACAGCAGACGTGCACTGCTGTTGTTTCTTGCAATTGGAACCAGAGCTGTCATACAATTTTGACAGCAAATCAAACGTGTAGTCTACGTAAACTTGCAAGTGATCGGGGTTCGCTCAGAATGGCGCAGGTATCTTTACGTGTAGAACTAGGCAAAAATCGTGCATAGGGACATTGTGACAAAAGATCTTAGGCAAAACTTACGCGTTGGCGTTTAACGTAATGCCGAAATTCCACATTAATGAGATACGATTTCAGTAATATTACTTTCTAGTTTCACCCTTACCTCAGAATACATTAAACGCCAGTTCTGGATAAAACTGCATCTGTTGATTATACATTTAAAGAAGACTGTTAATTTAGATGCGTTTTGTGTGTGCTTCTCCGAAGAAAGATAACGGGGTTCCCGCGCCTGTTCGTAAGTCTGTCCGCATGTTTGCACGATAGATCAGAATAATAGGCAGATGTGCCTTTTACAACTTTCATGGTTTGGCTGGCCTGCTAAAAGTGTCAATCGAGTATTTATTTGAGGCAAATTTACTAATGCGATATAAGAATAATTGTTTTCTTTGATAAAAGAATACCTCAACAAATCGTGAACATATCTACATAATAATTGGTAAAATAATCTATCTAACTATCTATCTATCTATCTATCTATCTATGTCACAATTCAAATGGTTAACATGTTGGCTGATTAGCGGTATTTTATAGTATCGAGTGATTTGTTTCGATTTGAGACTTTTTCTAGGAATGTGGCTGAGCCAGGAAAAGAAAGTCAGACCATCCTCGGTAATTTTTGTTTTACGAGCCCCACGACGTTTTTCCATGAAACACTAGCAAAGGGGAAAGCAGGGGCGGGTCCAGGATTATTTGAAGGGGGGGCGATTGTAAGGAATGACAGGCCGCAGGTGCTAAGTGGACCCTCGATGCCCCCTCCACCCCACCTTTGGGTCCGGGGCCTACTAAAAGGCCCTGAAAAATATTGGTATTTTAAAGGGCGAACGGTGCCATTTGGTACGGTTTAGAACTGTGATTCAGCTAGTCAAAATTTTAATTTCAAGAAGGGACCATTGGTGTGATTTTTTTCAGAAATCGAAAGGGGGAGGGGTCACAATCCCCCGACACCTCCTTAAATCCGCCACTGGAAAGGGATAAAACTTTGCCGGGGCCTGCGGGTTCTTTTTAGAGGTGTCAGAAATGTATTCTTTTCACAGAAAGTAACAGAAAACATCTGTTCCTCTTAATGATAAACTGTAACAATATCAGGATAGAAATATACTTTTTTCGTCAGAGTGTGAACTTCTCAAACAAAAACAGGTGTATGCATTTGTGGAAGAAATGTCTTTTTTTCTATTTATATGCCGATTTTCTCGACTTTCAAAAATTGGAGGAGAAAAACAAAAATGAAAATAAGAATTAATTTAAAAAATCATATATGTCCGTTAAACAATTCCATAAAGAACGGTGGCCTAGGTGTTTATCATTAGATATATTGCATCAGCCAGAATGAGTTCCTTTAAAGAAATGTAAAATTCCAAAGTTTCTGTAGCCCGTCTATGCTGTTCTGGCCAACAAAAAAATATCAGTTACTTTTGCTTTTAAAAATTCTCACAGACAGGATAATCCATGATGAAATGCATGGCAACGAAGGTATTTCTACTACTACTACTACTACTACAAAAGCGCGATGCATGGTGTCAACCAAGTTTTATCAGTTTCATCAGTTTTATTGTTTTAATCATTCATGTTTTACGACTTCACAGCAACAAGTAACATCACAATAAACGCTGGAGGATCCAGGATGTAAAAAGAAAGGGCGATCAGAGGGGCACAACTTTATTTTCCATTTTAACTCTCCCTCCTCCCCCCCTCCCCCTTTACCCCACCTACAGAGTCAACCCTTCTGCACGACTAATTGCTAGAAAAACAACGTCGGAACCATGGGAGGGTTCTTTTCGGTTTGTGGTATTTTGTACTGTATAAAGCAAGCTCATTGTGAGCCATCGAGCGTGACTATGTTTGCTTTACCTTGTTAAAGGTGGTGGAGAGAGCGGGGTCATCCCCTCTTGATTTGCCCACTGGTTATTTATAGATTTCCAAATAATGGAAACGAAAGCGAAGGAAACTTTTCGAAAGATGACAACATTGCAGTCAAGGTCGTGTAACCATAGGATGATGCTTTTGAAAACAAATATATTAAGATGCATATCTGTCTTTTCAGCAACCTTCCATATTATGAACGGAAAGGGTGGTTCGAGACTTGCGGGAAAACCTGAACACTCAAAGAAAAGTGACCAACGCCTTGCAGAAAACAAGAAGGGTAACGGGTTACATGGAGAACAACACGGCAGAAAACCCGACTTGGAGGTTTCAGAGAGGGTTTCGTCCCGGCAACCCTCTGACTTTGCCTCGCGCTCCCCTACTGTCAAACACACAACTGTGGTACACAGTGATTCCAGTATTGACTACTCTTCGCTTGAGAGATCAACCGAACCTAAACGGGAGACGATACCCGAGAACTGTTCAAGTAAACAGACCGATAAAACCGTCAGTCCACTCGTTGAGCAAAGAGCTCACGTTCCGACTACTACGAGATCCAAACCAACCCGTACCGTCGACGACAGTGGCGTTTACAATCTTGACTCTCGCCGTTATTCGGATTCAAATGCTTCCGAACATTCGCGGATTTCTAACTCAGAGCTTTCCAAACTAGAACCGGTTCAATCTGGATCTAAACAGAAAGCTACATCATCACCGAAATGCAGGTTGCAGTCGGGGAAACACGAGCGTGAACAGTTAGCAAATTACGAACATGAAATAACCCACCTAAAACAAACATTAAGGAATTTGAACTGGAAATACGAAGAGCAGGAGACAGCAAAGGAGAGCCTGGAGAGAGAACTGGCGAAACAAAATAAGGTAGGGAAACGTTGAAAGAAAGTTTGCATCTGGTATCTTTCTTGTTCGCCGGCGGTGAGATTCTGGTCCTTCATCTGAATGCTTATTGCATACTCAGTAGTCAGCCATTGGTGGTGGTGTTTGGTGGGGTTGGTGTGTTGTGGTGTGAGTGTGTGTGTGTGTGTGTGGGGGGGGGGGGGGGGGCAGTGTAACAAAACCGAGGGTCCGTGTGACGGAGAGTCCGCCTTCCATATAGTTATAATGGTTAGGGTAAGCCTGACCTAAGTGAGTCAAAATCTAGGGCGCGGCTTACTTGTACAAATGAATGGGGAGCGGACTCTCTGACGCGTTTCACCGGGCTCATCTGCTCACTCCGTGCCATACTAACCTGCACTACGGGATAAGGAATTCGGCCTATTTGACGCTAGGTACCGCATGCACCTCAAAGCGTTGCCATAAAAGGGGCGAAATTTGACCAAAGAGTGAAAATAGGAATGATATTTTGAACTTGACTTTTTTATCAGTCCATGACAACCCATGACAAATGCTTCCCACGTGAGTCAAGTTTGAATCAGGGGTTAAAATCCAAGGTTAACCTCCGTGTGAGGGCTTGATCTGCCCCACGTAAGACCTCCATAAACCACACTTAGTAAAAGAAGGGCGCGCTTAATTTCTTTTAAGCACACATCAAATTTGCTAACTTTCATTGATGGCGTGCCAGTTATATACCTTTTTCGGCAAACGCATACGTTTTCTTTTGCTAAAGACGATTTTTATCTGATACACTTGCCGTCGATAAACTAGACAGAGACAAGAGAGACATCTGGTCGGGACATATTGAGATATTCACCGGAAAGTCACACAGACATCTAAACGTTATTTTGCGACGCTTTACAGTATGTTACCATGGACAATGATGCCAACGTCAACACATGTCAATTTCGCTCATTTAGTTCTGAATTGTTCCCCAACTTTCTCCTGGTTGTTTCAGTCTGCCTCTTTTCCTTTGTCCCTCTGGTGCCCAGTGCATAGCTTTTTTTGTGGAACTTGGGTCTTTCATTTCCATCTCCTTGTCCTGATGACTTCATTCATGCTCCTCTGGTTAGTTTGTCTTAACATATCTCCTTTTGATATAGTCTTTAGACGGAGTATTTTAAAGATTTTTCTAGGGCTTAAGGTGTGAAAGGCAGAAAGCTTCCTGAGGCCTTCTGTTATGCGCCAGCATTTAGAACCATAGAGAAGAGTTGATTGTACACAGCTCTCGTATATACGGAGATTGGTTTTTTATAATTTTGCTTAGGCACTTAAATGTATTTCTGGCTTTGATTAGAGTATTATAAACATTTATAGCTGCCATTTAATTTGACCTTTACCTCGTCAAAGTTTGGCGTCGATTTTGGTGTTGTAAGCATTATGTAAAATTGCATCAAAATTGACAAAACAAAGTATTTTGTGCATCATTATTTGCTTTTATGACTGTTCATTTTACAGCCTTGCTGCTTGTTTTTTACGAATCAATTAGTATTATAGGTTGGCTGATAGGTTCAAGTAGGTTGTTGTCCTGGTGGGCCACGCACGCTGTCATTTTTGATAAGATATCGAAGTGACACCCAATGTCAGCACATGACAAACTTACCTATAACCTGCTTACATGTATAAAAGTTACCACAAGTGGGCATTCAGTAATACACACACACACACACACATATAGTTGACATGTTTATACAGAGTGGTTAAAACTTCAATTATTGAACGCATCTTAATTCAGTTACAGCTATTTCCATTAGGGATTCGAATTATTGCCTTTAGGTGTTTTATCATGTTTTTGTCTTTGTAGAATGTGAAGAAACTGAAAAGCAAAGTAAATGAGGTAAGAAAGAAACCAGCAATAAAAGTTAGTGAGACACGATATTCATTTTAGCTGGAAGTCAGTCAATTCTATGGCTTGATTGTGAGTATACGTTCTAATACTGTTTAAGATGGTAATTGTAATTGCTGCAATGTAAAGCAACAAAATGACAATATGATTTCGACTTTGTCAAAATATACACTTGCATGACTTATTAAGTCAATTTATTTGACGCAGTATACATGCATCTACTGCTCAGACACTTTTTTACGAAGACGTTGTAAGTTGGCGAATGTCCGTATATAATCATTCGCCATATGAGGCTGTATATTAATGACAGATTCAGCGAGCTTTTCCTGTAATCGCAAGAAGCCGTATGTTAAGATGGTGTCTTAATACAAACCCCAGTTTGGATAAAGAACCATTTGTTGTAACGTATTAATCTTCAGCTCATTGATGCCAATAAACAGTGGTATGCGTACAATGAAGACCGAGAACGTTACGTAAAGGAACTTCAGCTTAAACTCAGCGATCAAAAGATCGCTTACAATAAGGTATGGTAAAATTAGATCTTCTGTTTGCTTAAAAATTCTGGTCATTTGAAAGACTGCATTTTGAAGTTTTGTTTGTTGTTTTGCGGGGTACAACTACACTAAGCCTTATTTTTTTTTTAGCTCAGACACTTATTAGATGGGATTGCTTGAATATTAAACATACGTCTTTGTATACAAAAATGGAAATTATGTAAGTGCTTAATTTTAGTATTCACTTGAAATGTACTTGTACACACCACTAACACTCAGATCCCATAACCGAATTTTATCATAGTTAAGCTTTTTTCAGATACAGTTAACAATAGCAGAATTAAAACAAAAAATAAAGATGAAAAATGAAGAAATACATCATCTGAAACGACAAAGTGCAGCAAACGAAAAATCTTCGAGAGAACATTCGTCATTGACGGCAGAACTGAATGATTACAAAGTTCAGGTTACCTTTTTGAGAGAGCAGCTAAAACAGTACATGGAGGACTTCAATACGGAACGACAAGAAAAAGAAATGGTTTTCAGAAAGCTCATAAAATTGCAGGAGGAGCAGAGACAAGTGAGTCAAATTGTTTTCTTTTTCCGTTGAATTTTAGTTATTTTTTAAATTCAGATTATTTAAATGCTTAACTGCATCAATGAATTGCTACTGCTACCTATGTATCTTGCAATGCGAAGTTCAGCAACCATTCTTTTCGTTCCTCAACTGCCATTTTAGTCCCTTTATTCATAATTTTCTTGACACAGACAGGGGAACTGTCATCTTTACAAAGTCACACTCTAGTTTGTATAGAATCCGCTTTCTCAGTCTTGTTTCACGGATATTTGGACCCTGAAAACTCGTTCAAGTTCGAGTAAGACCATTTTTCATAAGCTTCAAATAAACAAAAACAAAAAACTTGAAACTAAAATAAAATCTGTGTCACAATGTTGTAAAGAAAACTGCACAATGTTCCATTCACAATTTTGATTAAACCTTCTGAACCACGTCTAGCAACAAGCATCTCTGTTGCCCCCCCCCCCCCCCCCCAATGTTCTTTGCGTACTTGGTGGTTGGTATATTTTAATGGTCATCCAGAGGGGTTTTTGAGGTTTAGTGTAGCGTTTCAGAAACGAGAATGATTTCCATCGGCTTATGTTGTTAAAACAGAATGTCTCTCACGGTAAATGTCAGACCTAAAAACATCAGACCATAGATTCTTATGTATCCATATCCCCATCTCCTAGACATGTGAAAGATGATGAGTCTTGATGCAAGTTACATTGTATATATATTTTATACTGAAACATAATATCGTTCAAATTTTTTTCAGCAGGCAGACACCACTCCATGCAGCAAGAGAACCGAAAAAGTGGAATCCCCTTTATCCAGTGAAACTACCAATTACCAAACTGCACAGAGCCTAAACTTACAGCTAACACCAGAAGCCGACCACGTGTGGCAGAAAATTAGCCCCGAGCATAACTCCAAATCGTTGCCCACGAGCAAAATGGTAGTCGGGGGTAGCAGAATTGTAGAGGGTGCCACCGGCGGTTATGAGTTCCAAGAAATACTACGATGTCCCAAGTGTTGGAAAGAGTACCTACCCAGTCAGCATCTGGATCTTCTAGAACACATCGACATATGTTGCACATAGATTTATTTTTCGGTTTACACTCGCTGAAATTGAAAAATAACCTCAAACTCGATGGAATTTGTTCTTGGAAAGTATGGGCTGAGATTTTAGACAAATCAAGACAGTTTAGAAATTGAAAATTGCAATATATGTATATAATGTTCTTTAATAACCCTTTGCTATTTTGGTGCTTTGACACTTATAAGACAAAACAACACTAGAAATCTGTTAGTAATATTTCTACTTTCATACATCAAACCACTATTTAAATGTCACCTATCCAGTGTGTCCTTTAATACAGACTGCATTAAGAGATATAACATTCAAATACAAACTGGGCCTTATATTGTGAAAAATCCTTCCAAATTACGCCTACGTGTTGAAGTGTATACCCGTGTTTATTTTTTCAATTTTTTTATGTAACTTGGTACGTACTGGGACTGGCAGATTCCCTCTTTCATTATTTAAACGATTCGCCATTTAACAAAGGTGCAATTGCAATTCTTTCAGCATTCGAGGCTATTTCAGTTCAGGCGAAAATGCTCCATTGGAATCCTGTAAATTGAACTCAACCTTTCCTCTCTTTGTCAGAATTCAAAGGGTCCCAACTGAAACAATTCTGTAGCTTGGGAGGATGGGCTTCTACAGTGTGTCGCCTCAAATCTAAAAATTCAAAGAATAGTAAATGATACTGGTTAATGGGACTTCCGAAGTTTTTTTTATTAATCAAATCGGATTTGCGGGTAACAAAATCACAAACGATCCCAGTGGTTTTGGAGAATAAATCTTCACGTCTGTTGTGGTTTGCATAATAAACTTCAACACTATTTGGAAGTGCAAACCAAATGGAAACAAACAATTCAAAGTTTACATATCAAGATTTCAAGCCCCCCAAAAATGTAAGGACAATCCAATTTTGATTAAATGTAAAATACCTTCGGGATTTTTGAAAATCAATGTTGTTTTTCTTTCAATGACACATATGACGCACGTGTATTCAAGGCCGGGTTGCAGTTCTGTTCTTGGCTTCTGTTTTTTCTTGGATTGATGAACAGAGCTATCGCCATCTGGTGGTGCTGTTTGTGTTGGCATACGTGCTGCAGTTTCAGATTCCGTTGTGGTGAAATTTTGCAGGAAACTTTCTTGATGACAACTCTAAAAATATATTTTCTTTCGTTGACGAATATAAAAATAAATTATTAAGACGTATCAACAACTAATAAAAAAGGCCACGGGTTTGGTAATACTTTTTGCTTATAATTTGAACCAGCATTAAACTTCATACAATTCTCATAATTTCAAAATTACATTAAAGACGATGAAAAACAAACAAAAGTCAGCAGACTGCCGTTTCAATAATTTCAAAACGAATGAAAATCTCACCATGTGTTCTTGTAGACTACTGAACATAGCAGAATAAAACGAACACTCATCCGCAGGACAAAGAAGCACGGTCCTCTTACTTATCCTGCCGTTTTTCACGAAGTTGGTGCACAGAGTAGAATCTGGGTGGTGCTCTTTCATGTGCATCTTCATCTCTAAGAAATGTGAAAATGGTACATGTCAAATGTTGCCAGTCATTATTACTTTCGTTCTCAAATCCTAAGCAATAATTCTCACTCTTCAAACACCATGTTTCATGCACAGCCCAAGTGCTAGCATAGATTATTGTAAATATTGTGTATAAAACGTGCAAGTCTCACTATTATTTTAGTATACCCCTCAGCCCTCACATTACAGATATTTTAGTACGGTTAGTGTCTTTAAATTTCTTACAAAAGGAGATTTTTGAAAATAAAACCATGAAGAAATAACTTGACATCGAAGGTTTACCTACGACTCCGGATGCTTCAAAGCAACACATGAGGCATAGACATCTTTTCTCAGTTGCTCCGGAAACCGTAAGATGCCTTCGTTTCCGAGACTTCTCCGACCCCTCCTCACTTTCCGACCTCTTGGCGTCCTCCACCTTTTGTACCGTGTCTACCTCGCGCAAGTAACCATCATCATATTTCGAATTCGTCTCGATAACGGACTCGTTGGCGTTCTCGTCGAGTAAACAGATGCTGACGAAGTCATCATCCCCCTGGTCAACCATTTCAAGGTGAGGGTCGTGGGAGCCTTGTGTACCTTGGGAGTTTCCCGCCAGGTTAGGTTCGGCCAGAAAATCGCAGTTCCTCATGTGCGCACGCAAAAGAGGCTTTCCTCCCGTCTGTCCGCGACTGCGCCATACGCACCCCACTCCCGGGCAAAATAAAAGAAGCGCCATTTTTCTCTGGTAGCGTGCATTGACGTCAACGGCGCGTAACCCTTCCAGTTGCTGACCAGGCGGTCCAATTAAATGCTTCGTGTAGTAATGTACTTTGAAATCGCCAATGGAGACGAACTGCTGTCGGCAAGTTTGGCAGGCAATCGGGTTCTCTTCAATGGGCAGGAAGAGGATTCGGGGTTCCCCGATGCTATTCATAGTATGCACAACATGACAGTCTTCATCAGTTTCGGCATAGGCGAGCTTAAAAACCTTTTTGCGCTTCACGTGAGGTTCACCTTCCGATGTGCTAGCTTCAGTGAAGTCGGTAGTACCTTCAAACGTTTTGTATTTGGACTGGAGTTCGCCCCTCGTATTGCCTGTTTTGGAGATATCGCGCTTCTTTTTCTTCAGCTTAGAAATCTTCCTTTTGCTTTTAAAATCTTTCACCGTGCTGGTTTTTAATGATTCGTGGTTACTATCGTCAAACTTTGGGTTGGTTGCAAGTCCAACAATTTCTTCTTTCACGTGGGCTGCTTTTTGAAGGGATTCCTTTGGATGATGGGCGTCGACTTTGGAAATGTTGACGTTAACAGCTATCTCTTTGGGCTGGCGATGTTTGATCTTTAGAGGCTTTTGACGCACGGCGGTAATTTTGAATGCAGCACTGGCTTTCTTTTCAGTGGTTTCAGATGATGCTACCCCTTCAATTAATTCCCCCGGATCGAAATAATATGACGAGTCGCCCCTCATCTTTGGCTGGTATTGATCAAACTTTTCCACGAAAGGCTTTTTGTTCTGATGCATACCTGAAAAGATTTTAAAGTAAAAATAATTGTGATTCCCTATATCTAGATACTGTCTTAAAATTTGTTATGAGAAATTTGCTGTTCTTGTCCTTGTCACTTTCGTGCCGACACTGCTGAGTAAAAGGTAACTTGCATGCTGAACAAAGCAAATAACCGATACTGATAAACACCAACATTTATGTCGAATGCAAATGTTAAAGAAACTTGTAATCTGCGGGAAAAAGTAAGTCAAGTTATAGGACCGTGGAAGTAATTAAGTCATACTATGACATCACTCACTATTTCCGGATTAAAAAATAGGCCTACATATGTTGAAGCAGATCAAACACTCTTTAATGTCCTGTGCCACCTATATTAGCCGATGGATACCAATCTTTGAATTGGTTCACCTCCGTCATGGAACCAAAAACGTGCAGCAGCTGACATTTGATAAAGTGGCGCTGCGCGTGCATAAAACTAACCCAAATGCAACAACTACTTCGATGATCCAAATGCTTACTGAGGAATGTGGACTTATACTGTATATAGGATCTTGCTCGCTGTTTTAGATTTCTTCTCGACTAAGGCGTGTTAGGTCCAAGAGACACCACGGAAATCAACTGCTCCTGCACACTGGAAGCTTTGGCATATTGAAACAGAAACCACCGCAAACCATATCCTAGTCTGATTAAGAATAAAACCTCAGAATCATAACCAAAACGCACAGGAAAACACGTATTATGAACCAAAGCTACATAAGAGGGACCTTCCTCACTCTGTTGTATTCTCGAAGCATGCTCGCGAGGCACTGAAGAAAACCAGCTGAGGTCCGCAAACATTTATCAACATGCACTTGTCACGTGATCCCCATATTGCTTTGATCATCTCACAAAGTCAACGTTCGCACTCCTCATTGGCTCAGTGCAAATAATGCAGCTACGTGAACATATTTCCACTTTTGACAGACCAATGGGAGTTGAATACGTGACAATCCTGCATGTGCATAGGTTTTATGATTGTCTCAGTTCAACATTTCCTTATAAGGCATTCTGTCGATTTGGGGCGGGGCGGGGCGGGGGGGGGGGGGGTCGTAAACGGCGGAATACGCAGTGCGAATTGGGAATTGCGACATCACATAACTCTCACCACTACCTGGTTTTAGGTAATTTGCCAGCTTTAGAAACGTTCTAGAAATGATTGTTAAATACATCAAGTGAAGAATAACTTCATACACATAAGCAACCGTTTGAAATGTCATTCTGTAAATGAAGACATGCCTGTTCCCTCGATTGCCTTCTTGACAGTTTAAGTTAAAAGTGGTAAAATAACGTTGTCAAATGAGCACATTTTTCACTCCTGCCTCAACTTACCCGCCCATGCACTCTTCATAAATAACATCTAATGTTTTTATATTTATACTTCAATTAGGAAGCGAAACCACATTACGACCCACGCAGAAGACATGTTTCTGATAGATTCATACACGTCTTCAAAAAGAATTTAACCTCGATGATCTGTTGTGAAGGATTGACGGCATTTTGGGTGTTTTTTTTTTAACAAACGCCTGACTCACCCGTTTCTGGCATGTTTTCATTGCTGCTAGTGAGCGACCCCCAGTCGTTTTCCCACGCCATGAGTGCTCCACAAAAAATCTACAAAAAGAAAAACAAGCCTAAAACATTTCTCAGTTAACTTGTTAAAATCGTTCCTTATCATGATGTATTTATCAGTTCAATGTTTTTAAGGTGGCAAGTTTTCTGGTTTTGTCCGGAAAGGGGAAATGAAATGCGGTCTGCTTTTGTGAGATGAACAACTTCGCCCAGAACAATATTAACATTTTTTGTACCTTTTCTGTCACCTGTTTTCTTATCCATACATAGGACACGACGTGTCAGCATGTATATAAACATTTAAATCCAGTCATAAATGATTATGCAAGAACAATACTGAATTTCCCACAGTAAATTAAAGGGTGAATAAAAAACACCGGCCAAGCACGTGAAACAATTAAAACACATTGCACACTTAACAATACGATAAAAAACGACAGTTCAAACTAACAAAGAGGTTTAACTTTTCTAAAAAAAAAATACTTGGCTCAAAAATTTAAGGTCAACAACGATACAAAGCTCAAAGAATAAGATTTAATTAGCAGTTCAGTTCAACTAATAAAAAATCACTCCAACTTACTACTAGGCTGTCTGGTTTGCTACAGTACAGATTCTGAAATGTTTCGAAAAAAAGCCATTATTCAGTATGTTTTAACTGATTTATCATAAAACAAACCAATACTTAAATGATGCAAAAACTAATCCAATTTAGAGTAAAATGGGGAATCTTTAATGACAAGCTGCCTTCTACCAGTTTGGCAAATGTTCTGGTCACGGATTTCTGCACAGGTTTCCTTTACTAGCACTTTGTGATCTAATAACACCTTTGTGCTGCCCGATGTCTGAAGGTGACTTGTTCGTAAGCGCAAACAAAATCACAACTTACACTTGGAATAGCTTCTGTTCTCTCTTCGTAGGCAGCGTCGTTGGGTTCAGTCACTAAAAATAAAACAATCAACATAAGTACCAATCCTGCAACAAACTCCGCTGACTCAGTGACGCCGCTTTGTCTTGAACTAACCAATAACATAAATGGCAGGCATCCAGATCTTAGATTCAGCAGTAAACGAACGAATTGTACCATAGAAAAAACTGAGGAGCCTTCAATACTGTTATAGTGATGAATAACGACAAAGGTCTGGAGCTTTCAAACGTTTATTCACCAACTCTCTTTTCATACAACTTCACAAGTATTTAAACTCTATTTTTCCGTACTGATCACGCGTTTACTTGTTTTCTTTCCATTGCCTTTGCGTGATCACAAGGAATTTTCCATTCTCATAATGCAAACCACCATTCAACATTTCCTTATTAGGTAATTTCTAAGAGACTTGTTTTCAATTAAAGATATCTAAAATATTATTTGAATTACTCATGCTTGGACCTTATCCATCGTAAGTTTGCATGTGTTTTACACGTGTTGGAAACTTTTGAGAAATTAACCAATCAAATCAAACTATATGTCACCTTGACGTGTTCCAACCTTTGTACTACGAGAACAATTTCTTCATATGTTGACTCTTTAAAGAAATTTAACTTACAGTCTATAACTCCCTATCCTTTTGCACATTTGATTTCGTTTTAATTGTTATCTGTAATTAGTGAAAGTGTAAGTCATTTGCTTTACAACAATACATCTGAAACTTTGTGCTGAAATTGTCAAAATGATGTCAACACACGTCCAGATGACATAAGACATACCATCGATTTTTGTAAATTCACACTCTTAACCTTGACGGCATGCAGAGAGCATTACATCGTCATCCAAGAAGAACATTACTGAAAATCATAGCAGTTTCTAACATCAAGGTATCGTCTTTCCAATACCACTTTTTTATATTTCTCATTTTACCGCCATGGGTGAGATTAACCAGCCTCTATCTAGATTTCGAAAGCGATTCCAAAACTAAATGCTCATAAACTGTTTTCAGGATAGTTATACTGTTCACGGTTTTTGTATACGATATACCTTATTAAGGGGGAATTTTGCATTTTCCAGGGCAATAAATGTTCATGTAAAGGGTTCTAACGCTCAATGGGCGCCTTGCAGAATAATAATTATGGTTATAAGCCTGTTAACGGTCTCAGTTTGTCTGTGAACATGACCTAATAGAGGGACCATTTAGAATAGACGATTCGAGTACTAAATGATCCGACTACTAAATGTGGCCTACCCCACTTCAAAAGCGATGCCACTAATTCCACGATGGTCTCCCCGCCTCCACATGCGCCGTCGTTGCAGGGGCCTAGCAATTAAACCTCGGAGCCGAGACTTAATCCGTTTAATGACACATGCGGAGGCGGGGAGACCATCGGGAATCAGCGGCATCGCTTTTGAAGTGTGGTCAGTCATATTAAGTGGGCGGATCAGTTAGTACTCGGATCTTCTATTCCGAATGGCCCCAAAGGCCCCATTTATAATAGGGAACTAACTAGTACAAGGGACAAATATGGCGACCCCTCACAAAGCTTACCATCTAATCCGCTAATAGACACCGAATAGATATCCGGTGGGGAAGTATTCAAGTGGGTTGGTCATATTTGACCCTCGGACTAGTTAGTCCCCTATTCTGAGTCTGGCCTTAGGGTGTGATCACAAATGAATCCATCGTACTTGTTAGTGCTGTAAACCTGATTGCATTCAGCAAGAGTCCACGTGGAGTTAGTGCGCATTAGCTTGTACGATAGATTCACTGTGAACACACCCTAAGTTGGTTGGCGTTGCGAGGTAACATAAATTCCATTAAAACTTGATTTTTGTTTAAGAGGAAACGCCTGGCATCTGGCAGCGAACAGATGACTTCACTCGATAAGCAGTTCTAGTATGGACGTGGTTTCTGACTCATCTGTCAAAACAGCTGTTACGACAGGAGAGGCTTTGTTTATAGTCACCACAACTGTTATCAACACAAAAAAGGCCTTCGCTGTCAATTAGTTTCACTGGCAGTGCGTGGAAAGACGTCAGTGCTGGTGGAGTGAGAAATTCTGATGTGCAGCAGCAGAACTTGGGAGAGTCTTTGGGACCATCCACACAGATATTTGGATCAATAAATCTCTACGGGGAGTCACTAAATTGCTATCAACTTAACCGGCTTAAATGTCTGTCACGCCTAGTAAAGCCAGGACCGGGGGGGGGGAGGGGGGGGNATGAATAGACGGGCCCGTAGCCAGGGGGTTCGAAAGAACCACCCCTTTTGCTGGGAAAAGGTCCATGATCTAGGTACATGAAGTTTTTATGGGAAAAGGTCCACTTTTTCAGAAAAAGAACCCCCCTTTTGAAATTGCTGGCTACGGGCCTGTAAAGCTGTTCCGGGGTAATTATCTTTACCCTAGCTGATTCGATATGCGTGACAGACATTTAAGCCGGTTAAGTTGAAAGCAATTTAGTTAGACTCCCCAGGGAGTTAGACCGATCCAGATGGAGCGATCTAGGCATCGGACTCCAGTGTATATATATATCGTGCTCAATGACACAGAGTTTCAAACACGGTCTACTTTAAAAATGAAATAATATGGAAACAGGGACTCCTTGATAAAATTTGGGTTCCGCAGTGGAAGTTCTGAAACCCACCAATAGCCAGCCATCTTACAGCAAAATAAGAATATTATAAATGATAGATACAATTAAAGTCGCTGAGCGAGACAATTCACGAGTAATTTTCACGTACAGCTCGGCGACGAGTGTTGTATCTGGCTTAAAGGCCTCTGATTGGGTACCACACTAGTGCGTTATGGGAATGCAACAGACGTGCTTGTATGCCAGGTTTAAATCCTATCAGTATAGGTCTAGCGACAGGGCCTTTCGTTATGCTTGAACAGACCAAACACAGCCCCTTAAAACGAATACTACTGGTCACGCACATTGCCATGGCGGCCCTGCATGGACAATATTTGAGGTAGCCCACATGGTCCACTCTCGTGAAATCGGATTAAATCCTAATCCTTTCTGCACGTCTTCCCAACATTCTTTTAGCGTTGACCAGAACTATGGTACTTGACCCCCAGCAGTGTTTTAGCGTTATGTATTTCAACAGTTGTGTTCTAACTACACCCAGTAATTACCAAAAATTATTCGCTGAACTTTGCTTTTTTTTCTCACTATGAGCTCAGCGACATCAACTTCTTCGGAAATAAGCCAGCAATCGTTCTGGTCGGAGATTGACGATACTACGGAAGTAGAAATCCACTGAATTTAGCTGTATTTATTAATGGCTGATACATGTTGGATAAAATGCATTGATAAAGCACGTAATTTATAATAGGAATTAAGACGCTAACCTGCCTCTAGAAGGAACAATCTCCCTTTTCGTGTTGCACCATCTTTTCTCCCCAGGATCTACACTATCTGCCGTCTAACTGAATACTGTTCATGCCGTTCGGGCACTCCCGTTTATATAGCACTGGGAATCCGTTGGACTGGGCAACAGTTCTCATTGGTCAGGAATGCGTTTATTTTCCTAATCCCCCACGAAGAGGTTGAGATAAAAATGCTGACCGGTGCAAAGTGTGCCACGGTCGGACTGCGCGTTATAATCAACCCCAAAGTCGCGTGTTATGTAATAAGCCGAGGTCTCTGCAAGCGTCGTGGTGTAAGAGAATATTATTCTTGGTATGTTTACTCAAGGTATACGTCCTTGGTCTACTAGAATGGAGAAGACTGTGTCTTTATAAATAGGGAATGGACCCTCGGTGCAACTGACCAAAAGAGATATAATGCTCTCTTTGTACCTTTTTTAGCTGGCGAAGCACAGGACTTTGAACAGTCACGGCATAGGAATTTACACAGTTGATCACAGTTGCACTCGGATCAACTTCTTCAGTGATTTTGATCCGCCTTCTTCAAGTAACAAACCAGGTAGATCAGAAAGAAAATAAAGGCTGATAAGAAAGGAACTCGACTTGATGAACATTGTTATTATCAAGGTTTTTTTCTGTTCGTGAACAATGGACTGCTCCAACCTCTGTCTTATGCAATAGCTGTCGAGATATGTGCGCGTATTTTCTGCAAGTCATGCCTCTGTATGCGCTGTGCTTGGCGCCGTCTTTCACCACAGCGCCCTTTGATATATTCTCGTGCTTCATAATACTTTTCTTTGAATTGGATCTCTTGCATAACCATTCAGTGCCATTGGGTACCAACTAAGGGAACTGATTAAAGGCCATTTTTCAATTACCTTGATTTTTTTACTTTGATTTTTCATTTATTTTTTATATTCTGAGTTGAAATAAAGATGCCCTTTACAAACATCACCACTTAGGCCGTATGCATTGTTTTATAAGCTTTCTTTGCAGCTACTCCGTTTAAGTCTTTCACTGCGATCTTGTTAAACCGCACACATTATTTCAAAACAATAATCCAATACGCCGTGTCCAAGAATGGTGTCAAAGATCTTTATCCGAAATCTGTAGTTGCGTAATATTTGTTTGTGTGAGCGTTTTCAGGTAGTCTCACCAGCTAGGCCGCATTCCGTGTCAAGTTGGGGCGGCTTAATTCAGTACCTTCTATCACGACAGACTGTGTATTTCTAAGGTTCTATTCCCATATATTTTAGATCGATCTATCCCCGCGGGGAGTCTCACTAGATTACTTTCAGATAATCCGACTTAAATGTCCGTCCCGCCTACTACAAGCAGTAAGGGGGTAATTAACTTTCGTGTCCGCCCGGCTGACAGCTATTTAGCGTGAACCCCCAGGGAGTTAGGTCGATCTAAAGTAGGTCGATCTAATCTATGGAAATGGGGTGTAATAATAGGATAACAGTTGGTCTACAACTGGCTGTCAATCATCTGCAGCTCTAAGCCAATCAGCAAATGGTCTTTTTCACACCCCTGCTTTGTCATTAAGCCGTAGTTTTTTTATCGACAATCTTATGGTCTTCCACGTCCTGTAAGAGCTGCTGTCTGCGAAAGCTTAGTCATGGTGCAAACAAGAAAAGATCTTTCCATGAAAAACAGTTAAAATATGGCAATGTGTTTTTCAACAGCAGAATTAATTTTAATTTTTGAGTTAATCGATTGTTTATTTGTACCCCACCCAGTCCGAGAAGGGTCCAGGGTCGCACTGCAGGATAATTATCTTATCTGGGTCTTGATCGGGGAAGAGTAAGGGCATAACCAACTAAATAATGAACCACAGATCAAAGGACTGGTATTTCAGATAGAAGACTCATGACCATTAACAACTGCCTTTATTTTTCCTTGACTTATGTATAAATATCTGTAGGATAGGCCGGTGTAATTCCCCTTTCTTTCTGTTAGTTAATCAGTGTTCTTCTTACTGCGGCACTTGCTAACTTTGAGAGGAATTTTCAGTTGTGGCTCTTTCGGTTCTTGAGACATTTAGTTTTTTAATTGTACAGTCAGTTTGTATATTCTGAGTCTGGGGGACTTAATTCAGTTGTGAGTTCCGTTCTAGGTGAGAAGATTATTGGCATATTATCTTTGTAAATATAAACGCTGAGTTCCAAGTTTTTTCCATTAATTTACACTCAATTTGTCAAACGGTCCTTCGCTAAAAAAAATTCAGGTTGAAACAACCATTAACATTTTAAAAGAGCACGCTGAAAAAGAGACTTCTGTTCTGGGCGACAGTGGTTTTATTCATCTCTGTTGACGTAATGTCAAGAGTGTCAAGTACAGGAACAAGGTATAAAAAGGACCTTGGGTGTTATGGCAGTGCAGCGGTTCCCTCTCCACAGATTCATTATGATCATTTTTCTTCAGCAGAGAATCGTGTCAAGAATTTGCCAGAGATACCCTTTACCAGGATCCCAGATATTATAGGCAATTAAAGTTTCAAAAAGCCAGGGTACCCTCTACCAGGGCCACATATTTACTTTTCACGAGATATTCACAGACATGCTCTTAGACCCCATTTCCAGAGATTAGATCGATCTACTTTAGATCGACCTAACTCCCTGGGGGTTCACGCTAAATAGCTGTCAGCCGAGCGGACACGAAAGTTAATTACCCCCTTACAGCTTGTAGTAGGCGGGACGGACATTTAAGCCGGATTATCTGACAGTAATCTAGTGAGACTCCCCGCGGAGATAGATCGATCTAAAAGCTCTGGGAAAACAGCCTTAGATAAATAGACGGTCATTTGGTTCTCTGGTGTATGGAAAATGTGCTTATAATATCTGCCACCCTGGTAAGCCAGAGACATGTCCGTGAATTAGTAGGCTTGTTAAGAGGTCAAACGCTGCATTTTATAGTACAAATATCTAACTTGGCATAAATGTTCCTTGGGCCAAAAAAACATTTTTTATCCAAAGAGACGCGCTCTATCGATTCATTAATTAGCATAAATTATGCAAATTAGGTGCCAAAATAGATAATATTTCATATTTCCATTAATTTTTGGCCTAGAAACATGTATAGATTATCAAACCTGACTAAATTAGGGACAAGGAACCCATTTTTGATCATTTGGGAGCAATTGGTGGCCATTTTGTGCCTCAAATCCAAGATGGCCGCCACCCGCCATTTTAAAAGTGGACATAATTTTGCCATTTTATGTTGAATTTTGAAGCGTTTGGTCTATATGTACTTGATATATATATCGATTCCTACTATTTTGGGGGTGAAAAAGTCATTTTTGATATTGTTTTGGTGATAGTAGGTGATTTGAATGGACAAAGAGGGTGTTTTAAGTGCCTACCAAGATATGTGTGAACGCTGCAAAACCATGCATATTGATAACCCGTATTCAAATATATCTCAGTGCAATTTTTTGTTATATACCATTGCTATTGGACTATATTATGAGCACAAAAACACATTTTTACCATTATGGAGGCCATTGGTGGCCGTTTTATCCCTCAAATCCAAAATGGCAGCCAAAACCATTTTGAACTTGAGCATAATTCGCCATTTTGAAACTACATATACTACATCTTTGTAAATGAGTAATACGTCGTTTTATATTATTTTCTGGTGCAGAATACATTATTTGTTTCTTAAAATTTGTGCCTCAAATCTAAGATGGCCCTCATACGCCATTTTCAAATTGAGCATTATTCACCATTTTGAAACTATCACACCTTCATAAGCGTGCCATACGTCATTTTTGATTATTTCCTGGTGCAGAATGCATTTTCGGTTTCATAAAATGTAAATAGAAACTTTTATAAGCCTCCAAATAAATATAGGATTCGGTTGCTACATGGGCCTGCAGTTTATATGTACAATGAGTAATCCAATTAGTACAAAACTTCCGATCTTTAAAACAAGTGACAGCAAACAAAATGGCTGAATTAAAGCAAAAGAATACATCTTTGACTGCATGAGGAAAATTGTTAGCCATTATTTTGATCAAAACCAAGTGATGGTTGCATGCCGCTATTTTAATAATTTGGTGTAATTTATAATCTTTGAACTGTGGGACCCTCATTCACTTGTATTAGGTAAAATGGTACTATTCTGGGGGCTCTAAAGTAATTTTCCAGTGCTAATTTGGTGACAGAAGATAATAAAAAGGTAATATAAGGTTGTAAAATAAATTCCAAGATGAGTTTCGTTGAGTCTGTTACAAAAATGTGGAACCCGAACCACATGCTCAAATATATCATCTAGATTTATCTTAAGTGACCATCCACTAAAAGATACTGAATACTCAAATGAAAGCAATAAATATATATACATAGTGGTATTATATTATTAATCTTTTACTGGTCAATGTGAACCAAAAAGCCACATGTACATTTATGTCCCAGTCACTGGGGCTTGCATTCGCATGTTAAATATAGCCCAGAAGATTTGAAGGGTGAAAAATGTGTCGTCTTATAATACTATGGAACTTGGTTAGTTGTGTTGATGCGTAAATGCGTAAATGGACTTTGCTTTGAAATAGCTCTAGATCTTGTCTGCAAAATCATCCAGCAGCACAGCAAAAAGAAACGTGCATGGTCAGCTCTGGTGGGCCAATAAGACAACAGCTAGTAAGAATTGAGGTTTTGTCAGTGTCCTATGAGTTTCCAGAGAAACATTAATGCACGAGAACATGTCGCATCAGAGGAAAGTGGTATCTTTACACAAAAAGAAGGAATCTGCAAAACCAATTAGAAAGCAGCAGCTGAGCAGGAAGGCAAGAGGGATAAAGCAAAGAAGTCGAGGAAGCAGCCATTTTTCCTAGTTGACAGTGCCAGTGATCATTCCTAGCATGATTTGGCCAGACAAGTCATCTCACTACCAATAGAAATCCATAAGGCGACTACATAGTTCTCATTGTTTCCAATGGACGAACAAGCACAAAACATCTACAGTATATGACAACTACAGGAATATTCGTCTTGGAATCATCTTAAAACACCTTATGCCTTTTTTTTATTATCCATTGGCACCAGAGTAACACCAGAAATTAATTATGTACTTACAAAATAGTAACAATTGATGTATTACGATCATATGTAAGTCCAACAGCTCAAAAAAAAGATAAATTATGCCATAACTTTTAAATAGTGACAGG